ATGGATGGTGATAAATCAACATGAGGCCCATTGATGGACCAAGAAATGGAAAGTCTCGGGTTGCTTGGGAGCCTCGAGACTCAGGCCCATTTCTTAGGTCCAAACATGTGGGTAAGCACAAGAGAGAAAAAATAGCCCAAAAGCCCAAGCAAAATAACCTAGCCAAGAGATAACCCAACCAAAAAATAATAATAAGCCCAAATCAAGCCCAATAAGCCCATTTGCTTAGAAAGCCATCTTGGCCCTTAGAAAAACCCAGAAAAAGGCCCACAAGAGCTTCAGCCTTTTTTGAAAAACAGAGGACACGTGAAGGAGTAGATGGCAGGCTCCTTAAGTAAGCTGCTGGAAACCAGTCCCAAGCCAGAGACATCCAAAGAACCGATGAATACCATCCTGCATGCTGTCAGAAGCATCCCTTGGACCAGCATACATTTGCACCTCCTTTCCTTCATCAGATTCAGCCAAGGAAGAGGAAAGAAAAGGAAGAAAAACAGCAAACTAAGAGTGGAAGCCCTCATTGCACAGCCGCGGGAAAGAGGGATGTTGAGCCCCCAAAATCTCCTAAATTCATGAAGATAGACAGAAGCCATCTTTGCCAAGAAAGGGAAGTCAGAGAAGGGGAGGAGAAAGGAAGAAAATCTCAGCCAAAGTAAGAAGGAGCCATTAGGGTTTCTTGAAAAATGGTGATTTCCGGCAGCTATAAATTGAGCCTTCCCCTACCCAACAAACACAACTCACAACCTGCAGAGAGCAAGCTTTTCTCTCTATCTTGCAAAACTTAGATTCGTGCACTGTTCATCTTCTTCTCCAATTTGTTCTTCTGGTAGCTGCTGGAAGAACCCTATCTCTTTTTCTCTTTCTCTAGCCAAAATTCCACAAAAAACACCCCATTCCTTACTTAAACGCTTTCATTCCTCATAAACCAAGCCTAATTTCTCTCTTAGTGCTAAACCCATGTTGGTTTTGCTCTCCATGCCTCATGCCACTCATGCTGAGCCTAAAAACCATCTGAAAGCATACCAAAATTATCTGTAAGCCACTATTATTCTCATTGGTGAAGGTTACTCAAAATATCTCCTAAGGTTTCGCTGCCCTTTCGAGGTATTTTGAGGCTTAATTTTCGAACCTAAACGAAAAGGGGCAATCTCCTCAGTCCACCTTTTGCAGCAGCCCAGCCCGTTAGCTGCAGGAAGAAAAAGTCCCCTACAATTATTAATTTATTTGGAATAAAAAGACTAAAATACCCTCTAGAATATTTTATTAGTTTAAAAGTTGACTTTTTGACTGGGAAGGAATTTGAGGATTCCAGTTGTACCTTTGCGTAGAGCGCGACAAAACGAGTCCGTAGACATGTAGTGGACTCAAATCGGAGTTGTAACGAAGGAGTTACGAGCAAAAGAAGTTCAGTGGCATAACCGTAAATATTTCGAAGTTCAGATTTTATAAACCCAGTTTTCTTCTCCTCCTCCAGTTGGACGAGCCGACTTTAGGAGAGGGTTTCTCTCAGCTCCGACCACCAAATTGAGCAAGACCAGTGCCAAACGAACCACCTCACTCCCCTCTTTCAGTTTTAACCCATCCCAGCCGTGATCCGCCGGTGTGGACGCGGGAAACCGCCACGAAACAGGGCGGTTTGGACAGTTTTTGATGGAATTTCACGGAGCTCGTTCGGACACCTCCGGCCACCAAATCGGACGAGTGAGGTATGGATTTTTAGCTATTTTTCATGCTCTAGCTGCTGGTTGGGTAGGATTTCAGAAATTTCCAGCGTAGATAGCTCGATTTACGAGTTAGGTTTCAGCCGGTTTTTGAGTCACTGTTCCGGCCATTTCCGGCCACTTTTTGGGGTAGGTCCAAGAACAAAAGTGGTTCCAAATAGGGTGTTTTACCTAGGATAGGAGTCTTGAACCGAGATGTTGAGATTTTCCGGCGAGGCTTTATCGCTTTAGGCACCACGCGCTGCCAGCGCGTGTGGCGGCGCGTGGGCAGCAGGGTGGGGACCACAGTCAGTCCTAGAATGATCTCCCAGTCCTCACGAGCGCGTAGGATTTTGCGGATCTTAATTCGGATAACGTTTGAACCCCGAACGGATCTCGCCTAGTATGCGATTTCCGGGTTCTATACGTTTGAACCGTTGGATCGTAGTCAATTTCAAGTATGTTGATCTAGGTATTTCCAGGATCGTATAGTATTTGACGGATCGTAAAACGGAGTTCCGGATACTCCAGAAATGTCAGCCCTAGAGTATGTTTTACGGATAATTAAACCAGTTACAAAATAACGAACTAGTTGCAGGTCAAGAACAGAGGAAAGAACTACGTGTGGCTTGATCCCTCAGTAAGGGTACGTAGGCAGCCTACCGTTACCAGGCGCAGCCACGAGTTAGGGGCTTAGGGTTTGTGTTTTTGTTTTTCAGGGCCTTTTGATCATTTACGACCCACAATTACCAGATGTCAGTTTTAAACAGGATTCGGCCCGGATTTCAAAGTGGAAATTGGGTCGGGTCGTTTCATCTTACATTTAGAAAAATTATATATGGGTATATTTGTAAATTATTGGTTTTGTTTTTTTGTTTTACGTATTCAATACAGCGGAGGCAGCTAAATACTGGTGGATTCGTAGAGAACTTGTAATCTGTGATAGCATCACGAAGGTTATCAGCACCTTGATTCTCTAACAATACTGTCAATCAGAAGCCCGTCATTAAGTGCGATTCAAATAACAAGGAGGTTTGCTCTTGTAACACAGTGCTTAATAATGCTAGAAACACCCAAGATGTTCACCAAATTTATATTTACCAAATGGCGTGGTTATTCAATTTAAACTTTCTTTACTGTTAACAATAATAACTGAAGTTTATAAAGTGATAAATTTGGTAAATAAAGTGACCCTAGTGTTTGGCGGTCTCTAAAAGATAAAATTAAAAATTAAAACTTTGCTTGATGGATGATCAACAGATCGGTGGAGATACATTTATGGATGAGGTGAGGGGGAAATATGTGTTGTTTTATATCTCGAGCCTGGAAAATATATCGAACGAAGAACTTTCGCTGCTCAAAAATCTGTACAAAAGAATTGATGAAGAGTATAAATGCAAGATTGTGTGGATCCCCTTTGAGGGTGACTGGACGACTGAAGCCCAAAAGAAAGAGTTGCAGTTTAAGAAATGGAAGGAGCAGATGTCGTGGTACGCAGTGCAATATTCTCCCTCAGCATCATACATGTACCTCAAGAAAGAGTGGGGTGTAAGGGGAAATTCCACAACAACTGATATGACATGATAATATTCATTGATTGATATGACATGACCACATCAACTGTCGTATATAAGGTGATTAGCTAATATTTTATATATCTAAATAGCATTAATGTTGACATAAACCAAAACAAAAAAGTGGGTGGCGTCCGCACCTATACACGTATTCATTGAATTAACAAAATTTTCGGTTATGCGTTACACATGTATTGGATCCCGTACAAGTATTAATTGAATTTAGTGGAATTTTCAGTTCATGTGTTACACATATGTTCAATCCCGTACAAGTATTAATTAAAATAAGTGAAATTTTCAGTCCATGCATTACACATGTAGTGGAATTTTTAGCTGTGATGGCATCACTGGGTGACTTCTACATAATAGCCAGCTGGCATCAAAGTATTAAATGGACTGTACAATGATAAAGAAAGAAGAAAAGTAACCAACATATTGACTTGGTACAAGTCTACAATTTTTCTTTTTTTTTTTTTTTTTTCTTGTACAAAGAATCTACAAATCCAAATGGTGTGCACTACGTGGCAAGTTGGGAGTGGGCATGCATTGCAGGATGGGGCTATAAATAGGGGCAGTGGGCATTGTATGAACTCACCCCAAGAGACTTACAAGCCATTAGCCCTAAGTCTGATATTTCTCTCTTCTTTCTTCTGCCATATTGAAACCCTGAAAGATTTTTCGTAAGCCATCGATGATGACAAGCCTGCCTAAAAACAAAGCGCGGAATGCCACAGTTGAGTCCTCTGCCCAAAAGGAAGGAGTACATATTAGTACCACCGTGACTCATGAGGAGCACATCCGGGTTGAAAGGGTTGAGTCTTACGTTTCTGAAGACCAAATCTGGACTGTTGTTCATGAAAACCACTTTCCTGACCCGAACAATCTCAGCTTTAGCGTTCGCGATCTTTTATCAGTCACTGGGAAACATCATTGATGAAGCAGCCAATAACTCCATCGTTGATGATATTCTACAGGTAAGTACCTCTATAGAGTTTTAGTATGTATTAGAACACTACTATTTTTAGTACACTGATGACTTAATTCTCATCACTTTTATTTTCTGCAGCACAATGTATCTGACATGACAATCTACGACGGGGACGACACCTTCATCTCTCCATTATGCCTTCTGAAGTCCATTAGCTGCCAGGTCATATTACATCCATAGTAATATTTAATTGTTGTTTATATATATATATATATATATATATATCTGTTTTTAAGTCGAATTTTTTTTTTAATGCTTTTTCTGGAGAACGCATATAGACCATAAATTATTGGATTTGGATCTATATGTGCGCATTAACATATTGACTGATCATAGTATATATTGCGCTGAAATTTCAGATGTCATCATGTAAGGATGGTGAACAAGTTTCCCTCCCTTTAAGGACTGAAGCAATATTTAAAAAGCTAAAAACGTTTTCATGGGAAGCGAAGGCAGTGCTAACCCTAGCAGCCTTTGCTTTGGAATATGGAGATTTCTGGCACCTTGCCCAGAACTATGGCCAGTGTGACAAACTTACCAAGTCAGTGGCAATCCTTAAGCGAGTGCCGATCCTTATCAAACACGAAACCTTAAAGAAACGCAGGGCTGCGATTAACAATTTGATCATGGAAACATATCATGTGATTGGTTACATCGTTAAGCTGGAGGATCTTCTACAGCACAACAATCCAAATGATGTTCCTACATTGACCACTGCAATGAAAAAAATCCCAACGGCAGTTATTGGACAATCTACACTATTGTAGCTTGTACGGCTAAGATCAACCGTCTTACCAGTGATAAGTAAGTTTCTTCCATTAATTTAATTTAGAACATTATATTTCCAAGAAAATTTATTCAATATATATATATATATATACCCTTTTTCTATACACAATTAAAATGTACTTGTATTGTGTATCATGATCAAACATGATTTTCTCCGGTACAGGGAGGAGCAGGGCAATCTAACCCAAGCTTTACCTGGAGAAGAAAATCAATGAACTCGTCAAGGAGCTTAAGGAACAGTATGACAGATGTGTGAAAGAAAAAGGTGGATTATGTGTGTGTGTGTGTGTACAATTCTATGGATTTTTCTTTCTAATTCTCTGGCTTTGCCTCAACCTCTTAAAGGCCTTTTTTCAAACCTTTTTACCCCATGACAGTCATGGTGAAGGGGAACACCAACATGAGCAATTTCATGTGTGCTCCTTCTCCCTAGAAAGCAGGGGAAGTTATAATCATTTGCCCTAGATCAGTCAGTAGATCTCTTAATGGCTTTTAATTTGTTTTTCTTGTTGGTCCCAACTAATTGTCTTAATAGTTTTCAATTGATCTAAGCTTTTGCAATGATGATCTATGAATGAAAAATTAAAAAAATAGACATTGAAATATAGACGGCTCAGATTGTTGAGGTAAAATTTGTGGTGGACCTCACAAGATGTCCGAAGGATCCCTCAATAAAAAGGAAAACATATGAATGATGAACTAGTTAGTATTTCTCTTTACATGCGTTAGTCCTTTACGTAAAAACCGAATTTGTAATTACTTGTCATAATCTGCCAATCGATAACTTGCCAATAACTTGTTGACATTTTGTTAACTTTTGTTATTTCAAATTTTGCATATCTGTTCAAATGATGGATGTCTTACATTTAAAAAAATTATATATGGGTATATTGTAAATTATTGGTTTTGTTTTTTTGTTTTACTTATTCAATACAGCGGAGGCAGCTAAGTACTGGTGGATTCGTAAAGAACTTGTAATCTGTCATAGCATCACGAAGGTTATCAGCACCTTGATTCTCTACAACGATACTGTCAATCAGCAGCCCGTCATTAAGTGCGATTCAAATAACAAGGAGGTTTGCTCTTGTAACACAGTGCTTAATAATGCTAGAAACACCCAAGATGTTCACCAAATTATATATTTACCAAATGGCGTGGTTCAATTTAAACTTTCTTTACTGTTAACAATAATAACTGAAGTTTATAAAGTGATAAATTTGGTAAATAAAGTGACCCTAGTGTTTTGGCGGTCTCTAAAAGATAAAATTAAAAATGAAAACTTTGCTTGATGGATGATCAACAGATCGGTGGCAATACATTTATGGATGAGGTGAGGGGGAAATATGTGTTGTTTTATATCTCGAGCCTGGAAAATATATCGAACGAAGAACTTTCGCTGCTCAAAAATCTGTACAAAAGAATTGATGAAGAGTATAAATGCAAGATTGTGTGGATCCCCTTTGAGGGTGACTGGACGACTGAAGCCCAAAAGAAAGAGTTGCAGTTTAAGAAATGGAAGGAGCAGATGCGTGGTACGCAGTGCAATATTTTCCCTCAGCATCATACATGTACCTCAAGAAAGAGTGGAGTGTCAGGGGAAATTCCACAGCGGTGTTGATCAACCCCCAAGGAAAGGTTGAAAACACCAATGCGCTTACCTTGATTAAGGAATTTGGTATATATTTCTTTGCTTTCCTGGATATTAAGGTCGACACAATGCTTAAGCCAGTAGTGGATCATATTACAAAGGACGATGCCCACTTCTAGACTCGGTACATATTTATTAATCAATGATATTATTTGCATTTGTTATCACTTTGTTGACCAACTCTCTAATAAAAGTGGAACCTACCTGTATTAGAGAGGTGGTCAGTAAATGTTGTATAAATAGCAGCACTTTCTATTAATTGTGGAATATTTAATAAGTAATTATTCGTTAAATGTGCTGCAACAGATGGAAAACCAAGGGTACACTTTCTTCATTGGAGGCAACGAGGAAAAACGACCAATGACTTGTTCGGAAGGATAACAAAAGCAAAGGTTGCCATTGATGGCAAAGAACTGAAAATACAGTTTGGGTTAGCTAGTGTTAAGAAAGAATCGGAGACTGCGAAGACTTTCTGGTTCGGCATGGAAAACCTCTTCTTTAGCTTGGCTCACTCTAGCAACGAGTACGAGTACAAGCAGGTGACAAAAGAAGTCCAGAAGCTACTTTCTTACAAAAACGATATCAACGGATGGATTATGCTTACCAAAGGATGGACTGTGGTGACCTGTGGTCAGGCTAACACTATTGTCACAACCCTAGAGGAATTTTCTGTCTGGACGCAACACATAATTGGGGAAGAATGGGGACATGCTTTCACCAAGCACCATGACAGTCTTATAACTGGGAAAAATGGACTCTCCTGCATCACCTTCCAGATTGCTGGAAATGCCCCAATGCATTTGGACTGCCCAGTCTGTGACGACCCCATGGAGACCAAGTTGGTCAAATATAACTGCTGCCACCCTCGTCTGCAGAATGCTGCCAATTAAACAATGTCGTCGTCATCAAATATCCATGGCTTTGTGTCCTTAGTAAAAATGAAAGCTTTTCCGTGCTGTTTTTGTTTGTGTGTTTCTGCTATGTCTGTAATTGGTTAAATAACGGGCAATGTCGTTGTCATTACATTAGTAACGTCAGTCTGATGCCCGGCTGTGTATTTAATTTCCAGTGTTCCGTACGAAATAAGTTGTTCATCTTTTCAATAATATGTTGTGTGCTTTTAATTTCATGCTTGCTCGAATATATTATTTTCTTGGATTTCTAGCTATATTGCTCGAATATATTTATGTTCTTGGCTTATAATTTGGGTCACTGAAACACGAGTCACTTTGCCTATATATTACTGACTCATCTATTTGGTCATTGAAACACAGGTCATGTAAGGGTTCCAACTCAGAAATCCAGTCTCCTCTAGATAAAATTTTAATATTAAAAAATAGTATAAATAACACAATTCCAAAAACTATGCGTGTTTCTAGCTAGTACTAGGATATATACTAAGAGCACTTCCATCCATTTGTCATGGCAAATGGTAAGAGGAGGCAAGAGCTATTACTATTCACTTGAATAGTGGCAGCCATTGCAACTTGTGGTGTTTCCACCCATTACCATGCAACCACTATTCATGTATCCTTAATTAGTTTTTAATTATTAATTTATTGGAGGAAAAGACTAAAAGGCCCCTAGGCTATTTTATTAGGTCCAGAGTTGATTTTTTGACCGGGAAGGAATTTGGAAATTTCGATTGTGCTGTTGCATAGAGCATGTTGAAACGAGTTCGTAGACATGTAGTGCATTACAACACAAAAACCTTTACATAACGTCTGATTTGCGTCATGGAAGACATTTAATGACGTGGATCAGGCGTCGTAACCCGCGTCGTGGAAAGGCGGGGTTATGGAAAAGTTTTTCAAAACATGATGTCTGTTTTGCGTCATTGAATTGGGTTTCAATGATGCGGATCGCATGTCATCTTACTTTTTCCATGACGCGTCCTCAATGTCATGGATGAGGTTTTGATGACATTAATTAGACGTCGTTAAGAATATGACATTCTATTTAACACCCTCTTTAGGAATTTAGGCCATCTCCAGCCATGGGCTATATCCCAAATATAGCCCTAATTAATGCAAAATCCATCTCCAGCCATGGGCTAATAAAATTCATGCCAAATTTGGAGGGCCACATTGGCCATTTAGCCTCCAACCGCGCCAAAATGTAGCCTAGTTTTGGCCTAGGCCAAATTTATAGTGGGCCCCATCCATGTGCTTTCAACAACCAATCATTAAAGCATTCCCCACTCCCCTTTTCAAAAATAATAAATATGAAGGACCCTAAAATATAGCTACATGGCTGGAGATGGAAAAATTTAGCCATACACTATTCTTTAAAAAATTAATATTTTGAGGGGCTAAATTTTTGGCCCTGGACTACATTAGCCCTATTACTGGAGATGGCCTTACATGACGTGGTATAGGCATCATTGAACTTAAACGACATTGATGAGACGTTGTTGAAAGATTTTTATGACACGGTTCAGATGTCGTTGAAATTCTTTATAAAATAATTCAATAAAAATTTTAATCTATATATATATATATATATATCCCATCATTTAATTATGCAAAAACAAATTAATATATGGAAGCAGAAATGAAGACACAAAGGCTAATAAATATTTTAAATTATATTTCTATTGCTCAAAATGATTCTAGTACATCACGAGAAGTTTAATGAAAAAAATTGTCTTTAGTAATTTAAATTAACTAAGTACATACTTCATTCATCTCTCTTCTCGTCAACGAGGACATGATTCAGACATTGAAGAATAAGAGGTACTGGGTGAGAATAGACTTCATCTCTCTTCAATCTTCTACCATTTGCATTTGTTTTGGAGGCATGTTCACTTCCAGCAAGTTGGCTTCAAAAGACTTCACAGACCCTGAATTCTCAAGAGACTGCTTTCAATGGTCTAGAAAAAGAAGAAGAAAAGAATCGATACGTAGTTATAAGCCCTCTCAATCACTTTCTCCTCAGTAGTACATGTACTGTTTGAAAATGAAAATCATGGTTGATAAAGAACTACATAATGCCAGCAATGCATAGCTGGTAATGTATCATCTCAGTGCATGATTAATACCTATCACTATCATAAAGAAGGACAATATCTGCAATAGCAAGATTAATACCAAGTTCGGCAACTCTGTGCATGCATATGAGCAACACCATTTCAGCATCAAACCTCACTATTTGAATTAACTCATCTTTATTAGAGCTGCATCAAAGAATAAATGTCAGGGAATAAGATACCAAATTAAAATTTCAAGCAAGAACTAAAATTCCAACACACATGCCCACCCAGTACAAAACGATGATTGAAGTGCCCACTGAAGAAAATTAAGTTTGAAGTGTTGTATTCTTATGCTACTGATAATACCAAAATAATAACCAGGAGGAGAAATTTTTACAAAATCGTAATTACTATCTGACAATAAAACAAAAATAAAAATTCTAAATACTAACGCACAACTAGAATCCATATTCAATCAAATAAAATCAGAAATGCAAGTAGGATCTTGGATTCCATCAACAAAATCACATACGTATAGAATCCAAATAAAAACAAACATTCACATAGAATCTACAATAAAAGCAAGCTACAGATGTTGATGCTCTTTTTCGAAGAGGATCAACTTAGAGAAAAAGGGTTTGTCTTCAGCAGTGGAGAAGGTGATGACCTTTTGTAAGGGTTGAGCCTACAGAAGACAAAGTATGAGAAGCAATCGTTAAGCTTCGGACACTGGTGTGGTGCCGGCCTAAGGCTCTCCGATGCTTAAGTCAGCTAAGAGTAGTAACTTTAGCAGAGTAACAGTAAAAGGTAAGAAAGTAGTTACCCCCTTTACTAGGGTACTGTTCCCTATTATAGGGAAGTGAAAGTGAGAGGTTTGTGTAGAATTTCGATGTGGGACTTTGTGCAAGTCGCTGTGGTGGTGACACGTGTCATGGAGATTAGGTTCGGCAGTTTGAGAGTTTCGACAGCCGGGAGCTTCGGCAGATGTTGGCACCTTGGTAGAGTGCCTTCCTTCGGCAGGGGAGAAGGCGTGGCTACCTTGGTGCTAATTGTTTTGAGGCTGGATATGCTCGCTTGATTATGGTGTAAACAGTAGTCCCCAAGTTCGCGATCAAGAAGTAAATTATGAGTTGGGAACTTGTTAGTTTTTGTGTAATCATGACCGAGCAATCCAGGTCAATGGGAGCCGTAGGGCTTCCCTAGTCCCCCAAGTTGGCAAGCTAGAAGTTGCGTTAACATTTGAGAGTTGTGTGGGCCTTTAGGACCATTGGTAGCTGGGTACCTAGGCGTTCAAATCAATCCTAAACTGATACCAAAAACTCTGTTCAAGCATGGAGGTTAGGGCTTTACGAAATCGCACCTTGGGAACGGCACTCAACCTTCACCTTCGAAGCAATTGCCCTTGAGCGATGTCTTCTAGTGATGAGGAGTTGAAGCTCTTCAATGTTCTAGTGAGAGACAGAGAAGAAGCCAAAGAAAGAGAGGGAGGGTTTCGATGGGATTTGATGAGAGAGAGAGAGAGAGAGAGAGAGAGAGAGAGCGAGAGAGAGGAGAGAGAGAGAAATTGCAAAGTATGAGAAGGAAGAGATCTAAGAGAGCATTTGGGATTAAAGAATGAATTAGAGATTGGAGATAGAATATGAGGCTTCTGTAAGGGAGAGAGAATTTGATCCCTAAAAAAATATGCACCATACTCAAATTTGGTGAAAAAAGGGCGGCATGCAAAAAATTTTGGGGGAAAAAAATTACAAATCTATGACTCATATGCTACGTCATTAAAGTGCTAAAGATTTTATGGTGCAGAAGATGCGTATGTTAAGGTTATGAAAATATTTCTGCCCGTGAAACAATAGCAAATGTAATTTGGAAAAAAGTGGCGCAAAGCCATAAAAAAAAAAGGGGGAAATTTTGGTAGATCTGTGACTCGTAGGAAACGCCGTTGAAAAATAATTCTATGACCCATATAAGTATTTCATGACGTGTAGAGGACGTCATTAAATTTTTTTAAAAAAAGGGATATATCATGACTCAGCTCCTGCATCGTTTTATTAGTGTTTCATGACGTGTAGATGACGTCGTTAAATTAAGAAAAAATTGGGGTACATCTATGACGCAGATCATGCGTCGTCGTATAACTGTTTCATGACGTGTTGAGGACGTCGTTAAATGAAGAAAAAATTTGGGGTACATCTATGACGCAGATCTTGCGTCGTCGTATAATTGTTTCACTAACTGTTTCATGACATGTTGAGGACATTGTTAAATTAAGAAAAAAGTGAGGTACATCTATGACGCAGATCTTGCGTCGTCGTATAATTGTTTCCTGACGTGTTGAGGATGTCATTAAATCAAGAAAAAATTTGGGGTACATCTATGACGTAGCCGACACAACCCACGGGACCGGACCCAACCACACTGGCCAGCTTCTACCGTCGCAGCCGACACCTTCCCCCGCCCCATCGACGCCGTAGTCACCGGAAACAGAAGGTTTTGGCTGGATTTTTCTCCGAATTTCAAATCTCTCAATCTCTCTCTTCTAGTAGCCAAATCGATCGATTAGGGTATGGATTTCTAGCTACTTTTCATAATCTAGCTAATGGTTGGGTAGGTTTTCATCGATTCAAAGCATAGATAGTTCGATTTTCGAGGCCGGTTTGGGATCGCAGTGCTGGCCACTTCCGGCCAGTTTTTGGGATAAGTCCAAAACAAAAGGGGTTCCAAATAGGGTTTTACACCTACAGTAGGAGTTTGGGCCGGCGGTTTGCAGTTTCTCCGGCCGCCAGAAAGTTATCAAGACACCCACTCGTTGCCAGCGTGTGTAGCGGTGTGTAGGCAGTATGATGGGGACCACATTCAGTCCTAGAAGGATCCCTTTGTCCACACGAGTGTGTAGGTACTGGCGGATTTCAATTTGGATAACGTTTAAACCCCAAACGGATCTCGCCTATTGTGCAATTTCCGGATCTGATACGTTTGAGCCGTTGGATCATAGGCATTTCAAATATGTTGATCTAAATAATTTCAAGATCGTATAGGAGTCAACGGATCGTAAATCGAAGTCTTGGATACTCCGAAAATGCTAACCCTAGGGCTAGGGTTACATGAACCACTGATTGTACGATCGTGATCAATCAGACCATTCGATCGAGATCAAACTCTCGGGACATGTGTCCTAGGATATTGGGAATCTTTTGGAGCTTCCAGGTCAGAATTTAGAGGTTGGGATCCATAGGGTCCTGGGTTGACCATTTGGGACTTTAGCGCTTTTTGAGTCCCGAGTCACTTCTAAACCATTCAAATGTAAGGAAGGCTTTTGTGGGCATAGGATTGAGTTAAGTTAGTGCACGCACTTTTAGGAGCCGGAGGTTAGGGTTTTAATTAAATATTATATATTATACCGAGTAGTTTATTAATGAAATATCATGATGGTTCAATCAGGCACACGGGCCTGGACCAACCCGCAGGAAGGACCTTCAAGGGGTCCAGCTAGCTTGGACCAGGAGTGAGGGGACCTTTGCTTTCATAAATGGTTTATGCAATTTAAATTCATTATTTGATCTTGAATAAGTATTCAATAGATCGTGGGCTTTCTAGCATATGTTGCTAAGATTAAGTATTTTGTTTATTTGCTGTCAAGTCGCGAATACTTAGTGTTGACATAAAACCAAAACAAAAAGTGGGTGACGTCCGCACCCACTCTGATCCTGTACATGTATTCATTGAATTAACAAAATTTTCGGTTATGCGTTACACATGTATTGGATCCCGTACAAGTATTAATTGAATTTAGTGGAATTTTCAGTTCATGTGTTACACATATGTTCAATCCCGTACAAGTATTAATTAAAATTAGTGAAATTTTCAGTCCATGCGTTACACATGTAGTGGAATTTTTAGCTGTGATGGCATCACTGGGTGACTTCTACATAATAGCCAGCTGGCATCAAAGTATTAAATGGACTGTACAATGATAAAGAAAGAAGAAAAGTAACCAACATATTGGACTTGGTACAAGACTATCTTTTCTTTTTTTTTTTTTTTTTTTTTTTTTTTTTTTTTTTTACAAAGAATCTACAAATCCAAATGGTTTACGTCTATTTTCTTTCGGTGATACACAACGACAAGAAAGTTGTTGAGGAGGAGAAAAGGCAACAACTTTCCTTAAGATAGACAACAAATCGTAATAGTGCTTGAGCAACAACTTTGTTATTTTGTTGCATATTCCATTAGGACACGGACATACTACAATGATGTTTGCAACGATATTTTTTGTTGACTGTATGTTTAATTAATTTTTTTGGAACATTTAGCACACCAATTTTTTTCCCCACCAATGGTTTAGAAATTGGATTATTGTGTTTTTTTTTTTTTTTTTTTTTTTTTTTTTTTTTTTTTTTTAGCAGCAGTCCTAAATTAGATATTACCTGATCCATATGATATCAATCCTCAAGGAACATGACAAATAAGAAATTTCCAAAGAACATAAAAAATAAGATCCATCGTTTTGATCATTAGTTGAATCAATTCCCATGTGAGGGGTGGTGTACAATTTTTGACAATTCTGCCACTTATTTGCTTAAAAGAACATCAATAATATTAATCATAGAGTTCAAAAGGAGAGTTATATTGCATGCCATAAATCATCGAGTTCACTTCAAGACATTAACGCTCCAAAATCATTGTGCCATTTCTCATCCCAAGTTCAGTTATTAGAGAGAACGCTCAAAAGCATCTCCAACCTGTAATACTGTCAACAACAATTGATATGACATGATAATATTCATTGATTGATATGACATGACCCACATCAACTATCGTATATAAGGTGATTAGCTAATATTCTTATATATCTAAATAGCATTAATGTTGACATAAACCAAAACAAAAAAGTGGGTGGCGTCCGCACCTATACACGTATTCATTGAATTAACTCTACTACAAAAAGTTGACCCCAAAAAAAAAAAAAAAAAAAAAAAAAAAAAAAAAAAAAAAAAAAAAAAAAAAAAAAAAAAAAAAAAAAAAAAAAAAAAAAAAAAAAAAAAAAAAAAAAAAAAAAAAAAAAAAAAAAAAAAAAAAAAAAAAAAAAAAAAAAAAAAAAAAAAAAAAAAAAAAAAAAAAAAAAAAAAAAAAAAAAAAAAAAAAAAAAAAAAAAAAAAAAAAAAAAAAAAAAAAAAAAAAAAAAAAAAAAAAAAAAAAAAAAAAAAAAAAAAAAAAAAAAAAAAAAAAAAAAAAAAAAAAAAAAAAAAAAAAAAAAAAAAAAAAAAAAAAAAAAAAAAAAAAAAAAAAAAAAAAAAAAAAAAAAAAAAAAAAAAAAAAAAAAAAAAAAAAAAAAAAAAAAAAAATAACCATACAATATAGCAGCAATATAACCACAATAACCATACAATATAACAGCAATATAACAGCCAATATGAAAGTAATGGTTACAGTGAAAAGGCTTAAGCCAGACAAGGCCAAGATGACGATTCATATGTTGCAAATGACAAATATAATGGATACAATTACGATGATGAATGCAATTATGATAAGGAATGCGATTTTGAAGAATTGACTTAAATAATCAACTTCTTTTTTTCTTGATTTAGATTATTTTTTCATGAACCAGTTGTATCATGTTACGATCTAAAGGTTAAGCAATTGAATCTTTTGGTTTTTAACAACTTTTTCAAATTGGAATTAGTCTGAGGAGAGATGCTATTGAGCATCGTTTGCATGTGAAACTCTTTGAACTATAACCATGAGCAAAATTCGTAAATTGGAACACTGAATTGTTGGTTTAAAGTTGTTCACAGTTTTTTGAGTGTATAGGGAAAAGCACCAGTTTGACAACAATGTTTCCCCTGTTTTCTTCTTCCTAAATTCAACACTGACAACACCAAAGGCTTCACAATATTCTATACAAGTCTGAGGAAAATTTCAATTGATCATTGATTTGCATCTCAAACTGTGAATTTATATAATTTAGTTAAAAGAAATTTTATTCAATGTTGAAAAATCGATTCTATGATGACGTTAGTGGGGCTTAGTTTCCACATCATCAAACTGCTCGGCAATTCATCATCCTTGACAATTTGACATTTTGTCGTCCAAAATATCCAATAAGGCGTTGTTTCTTTATTGCCATTCAAAGACATTCGAACATTTTAAAAGTATAGCCAAGCGGCTATACTCTTAACACGAAGCTTGCACTTGCAGTCAAGCCATTTCGCTTCTCTATCAACTCAAGCTTCGATTTGTTGTCTTTGGTTTTGGCTACTTCGTCCTCCGGGTTCGGCAACGAAAAAAACACAACCCACCTAGGCGCCCGCCTAGCCGCCTAGCATCCTCGCTCCCCCTAGCCACCACCTAGCGGCCTCGCGCCCTCCTAGCAACCGCCTAGCCTCCTCGCGCCTTCCTAGTACAGTCTAGCCGCCTCGAGCCTGCCTAGTGACTGCATAGCCACCTAGCCGCCTGCCTAGGCCGATTTTTCGAACACTGCGATTGACTGAAAGTCTGAAACAACAATGGCCTCTTTCAGCATCCTTTGGCTTCTTTTGCAGTCTATGCTTTCTCAGCTGCTTCTGGTTTCATGTGTCCATGGCTCAAAATGCTACTACCGATCCATCTGAAGGTACTAGCCATCTTTCAAGTATAGCATAAATGTACGTTATGTGATGGGTACGCAATGATTGAATTGAGAATACAGTGACGGCGTTGATCTCAATATCCAAGCAATGTGACATGCAATCCCTGCCTATCAGTGGATGAGAGCAATGCATTGGATTTGCCATCAATGGAAGCGAGTTTGAAAAGCCAGAGAATAATCCAGCCTCTCTCTCTCTCTCTCTCTCTCATATTCTTTAGTCTTGTGTTGTAGTATAGCCGGTCGGCTGCACTTTTTCAACACTTGGCATTTTTTTAAAATAAGAAATAGTCTAGCGTTTTTTTAGCCAAAAAAAAAAAAAAAAAAAAAAAAAAAAAAAAAAAAAAAAAAAAAAAAAAAAAAAAAAAAAAAAAAAAAAAAAAAAAAAAAAAAAAAAAAAAAAAAAAAAAAAAAAAAAAAAAAAAAAAAAAAAAAAAAAAAAAAAAAAAAAAAAAAAAAAAAAAAAAAAAAAAAAAAAAAAAAAAAAAAAAAAAAAAAAAAAAAAAAAAAAAAAAAAAAAAAAAAAAAAAAAAAAAAAAAAAAAAAAAAAAAAAAAAAAAAAAAAAAAAAAAAAAAAAAAAAAAAAAAAAAAAAAAAAAAAAAAAAAAAAAAAAAAAAAAAAAAAAAAAAAAAAAAAAAAAAAAAAAAAAAAAAAAAAAAAAAAAAAAAAAAAAAAAAAAAAAAAAAAATCAGGAAATGGGCTCTTCTAAGATGTTGCCGTATCTCAACATGTTTATTTTCTCAAATATAGGTGGGGTGGTTGCTGATCACTTGGTCACCAAGAGAATCTTGTCTGTGACTAGAACCCGGAAGCTTTTGAACACCATCGGGTTCATTGTTGCTTCTCTTGCATTGATGGCAATTCCCATATTCAGAACATCTGGTGGGGCTGTTCTCTGCTCTTCTGTGGCTCTCGGTTTCTTGGCACTTGGGAGAGCTGGTTTTGCAGTGAATCACATGGATATTGCCCCAAGATACGCAGGCATTGTGATGGGAGTTTCTAACACTGCTGGTACGTTAGCTGGCATTATTGGAGTTGATCTGACCGGCAAACTTCTTGAAGCTGCAAGAACTGTTGATTCGAGTCTTTCAAGTGCAGAGAGCTGGAGAGTGGTGTTTTTCATTCCGGGTTTGCTTTGCATTTTTAGTTCTTTAGTATTTTTACTATTCTCAACAGGGGAGAGAATTTTTGACTGAGATAGGCTTTTGCATGCGAACCTCTCGAAGCTCCTCAATCGTTGTTCAGATTCTTCATTTATAATTGTTTGTGCAATGAGGCTGCTGATGTAGTAGTGTAGCATATAATTGTTGCCTTGGGAAAACATATGAACTTAAAAGCGCCCATAAAAGATTGGTATCTAGAAATAGCAGGTCATATGTGGGGATTACAATGCATGCTTAATAAGCTCTCTGATTGCTTCCAGCATATAATTCTTGTGTATGAAGGATAGATGAAATTAATAAGCTCATAAACAATCTGAAATGGTCATCCTAGACCTGCAAATTATCGATTTTTATAATGTATTTGTTAAATTTGATTCCAACCCCATACCAGGTTTCATCTGGTTAATGGAAATGTTGTTTGTTTGTGGAATATCCAGTTGTAATTGACAGACAATTGATACAATGAAAGAATTAGTGATGGTTCTATAAACTTGTGCAACTCCGTATGATGTCCTGGGTTAGGCTTCCTTTGATTTCTTTTTATATTTCGGATCGAACTTGAGGCCTCTTCCAACTAAGTGCACATTCCATTCTACAAGATTATGCTACATTGAGTTAGTTTCTCTGGAGTTTCGTCCTAGTTGTAACTTTTGGTGATAATTTTGTCTGTCATTTTCAGTTTTCATTTTTTAGTTAGAGATGGAAGTAAAGCATATAGGGAAAAATGAAAACAAATCTTAAGAAACTTTTGTTTTCATTTTCATAAGCTACCCTGGTGGTACGCCAATTGGTGTTTTTTTTTTTTTTTTTTTTTTTTTTTTTTTTTTTTATTAAGAAAAAATAACGTGGGTAGTTATGTTCCATAAAAATAGGACTTATTATCTGATTTTGTTTTTAATTTTAATTTTTTTAATATGAAAAAAATGTGAATTTACCATATTATCCTCATTTAATTAATAATTTTAATTCTTAATGTTTGAATTAACCAAAGACATTTTCTGGTATTTTTAATGTTTCATCATTCTCTCCCTTTTGCTTTCTATATATTAGGGGTGTAAGGTGGATTGGAAAATCCGATTCCTACCAATTACGGTCCGAATATTTCCAAAAAAAATCCGACTCCGATAAATCCAATATCTGAAAATGCCAAATCTGATATTTCCGATAAATGCATAAAATTCCACAATTCAGATCCAAATTTTTTTTGAAGTTTACCGAACCCATTCGGATTCGATTTTTCCAAAGTTTTCCATAAATTTCCGAATTTCTTATTATAATTGCATTATTTTTAATGTATAGTTCTTATATATGTTTCATTTCTTAGGTCACATGCAAATATTCATATATATAAAATAGGCTTTGTCAAAAAATATATTAATCATAATAGTTTATAACTTTAAGAGTATATATTTTGGCAAATGTGCTTGTTTGAATATAACAAAAATGCATATGTGTGCTTGTTATATCAAAACGTACTACATATGTGGTAAATGTAGGGTATACTATTCCATTTTGTATTTTATGTATGTATGTATTTTAAACTATCTTCATTTAAACTTTTAATTACATGAAACACCAGATATAATATAAATATATTCATTGGAGCTTGACAATTATAGTATTCCAATTGTATAGAGTAAGACTAACATATTAAGATATTGAATGAACAAATAGTATTAGTTCCTTTTGTAAACTTTTAATCCATTATGTTATTTTTAAAATTCCATCATGTACACAACTCAACCTCCCATTCATATTTCCACCACTTTAGATACGTGTTATATGTACAACCTTTTATAAGGCTTCATTTGGATGAAGAGATTCTAAATCCATGTATGCCAAAATTTGCACAATAAGGAATAAAATAAAATAAAATAATTCAAAAGTCCAACTTAAGCTTCCTTGCACACATTCTCTCTCTTTTATATATATGATATATTAAAATTAAAGACCTTTTTTATTATTATCAGAAATTAAAAAAAAAGAAGAAGTAAAGAGCTAAATAAAAAAAATTAAAAGTTAAAAAAAAACAAAACGCTCCATCTCCCACTTATCTCTCCCTCTTTCTTTTCTTTATTTAATTTCTCAATTTCCCACTTACTCTCATTTCATTTGTTTATTTTCCCCCTCTTTCTCTCTTTCAATACTCACATTTTTAACCCTAAGTAACACATCTTTTTAATTATTTTTTTTCCATTTGCAGCCGCTGCACCCTTTTGGTTTTTGTTTTCTCGCTTGGGTTCGATTGGTTGGTCAACTGATTGGGTTTAATTGTGTTCTATTTGACAATGATGCTTGTGCTCTGTCTTTGGAGATGTTGAATTCATATGGTGTGAAAATGCTGAGTTATTAGGTGGAGAGATGGTTATGTTCTGAAGAATTCAAAACTTCGGAATGGGAAAGTTCCGAATTTTTCCGGAATTTTTTGGAATCGAAATCAAAAGTGTTTATTGAATTCTGAAGGGTTTTGGATGGAAATTGGAATGGCTATTTTCGATCCGATCGGGCCAAATTACAGGCCTAGTTATAAGCTTTGGTATTTGGGTTGTCAGATTTTGGGGGCTTGTATTTTCTCCCCAGCCGTTGAGATCACTTAAATGGCTGAGATGGAGCCTCAAATAGTTCCCACCTTAGCTGCGCGCTAAATTCAAAATCTTCAAACTGGGTTGGACCTAAATTATAGTTGGGCGTGAACTTTTTGTCCAATTCCACTGAGTGGGCCTAATCTAAAGCCTTAGTCCACCCATTTCCACATGGACTACCCAAATCCAGTAACTCGAACCGGGTTTTCAATTTCTTGAGCGAAAGGAAAAGGAAAATAAACAAGATCCAACAGCCTATGATCGAACAGCGCTCGTTCTCCTCTATATCGCTCTTCAGACTCAAGTCGGCTGCGAGAGAGATCCCTCTCTGTATTCTTCACTTTTAGTTTCTTGAGGTTCGTATCTCTATCCTCCTGCTCTTGCTTTAAGCTTTTGTACCTGTTTAAATGTTTGTGGCGAAATTAATAGGTGTTGCTTTCCATAATTGTTACCTCAACATTTAGAGAACAAAAACGAGTGTGAGTTTCCACTCTCTGTCTGATTTCCACAACCCAGATTTTGTTTCATTACTTTGTTTTTGAATTTGTGATTTTTTGAGCAGTTAATGGAGTCGAACCAAGCCAAACCCGGCCTACTGTGCAACCCTGAAGCTTCTCAGAGAACCTTGTATTCTATTCTCACACTTTCTCGCTTTTCTCATTTTTATTGTTGAATTTATGTTGCGTATTTTTGGTATGTGTAGACCTTATGGTATTTGGGGTTTTGGGGATTTTGCTTTCTATATGACATTTCAATCCTTTAATTCTTTTTTTTAAATATAATTTTTTGAAGGTACCCATATGTAACCGGTACATCTGTGGTGGCTCTTAAGTACAAAGATGGAATTTTGATGGCTGCTGATATGGGAGGTTAGATGCCAATCCAATTTAGATTGTGTTTCAAATTTTAATTATTTTTTGACATAAAGGTTAAAGTCCATCGCTTTATGAACAATGCTCATCATCTCTTCTTTCGGAGTTTCAATCCTGTTTAAGTTGCAAAAGTTAGACACCCATGTATGTTCCTTTTCATGTTTCTGTTTAGGTTTGTAACAATATCAAATGATGCATTTACTAATAGGTTCTTATGGGTCCACCCTGCGATACAAGAGTGTGGAACGAATGAAGCCTATTGGAAAGCATTCTCTTCTTGGTGCAAGTGGAGAAATAAGTGACTTTCAAGAGCTATTACGTTATCTTGATGAGCTCATGTAAGCATTGTTCTCAAGAAAAATTATGTAGAAGATACCTTCTCTAATGCTTTCATTGTGATTTTTGCCATGCTTCTTGGTATCATTTGCAACTGGAGTTAAAAAGATTATTCATTTTGAGTTTTATGGTTGTAGCCTATATGACAACATGTGGGATGATGGCAACTCTTTGGGACCTAAAGAGGTCCACAACTATTTGACCCGTGTGATGTACAATAGGCGTAACAAGTTCAATCCACTGTGGAACTCTCTTGTCCTTGGTGGAGTGAAAAAAGGACAGAAGTACCTTGGCATGGTAGGCCTCATATAATCCTTCCCTTAACGATTGTAGCATGCTGTGTTCAATTAGGAAAGCTGATTATTTATTTATTTATTCAAGAATAAAGTTTATGAATGAGCTGACTTAGTTACTTGTCATATTCTTTTATCCCTATCCAGGTTAGCATGATAGGTGTAAATTTTGAGGACAATCATGTAGCTACAGGATTTGGAAATCACCTTGCACGGCCTATTCTTCGTGATGAATGGCATGAGAACTTGACTTTTGAAGAGGGTGTAAAGCTACTGGAGAAATGCATGCGTGTCCTTCTCTATCGTGATCGGTCTGCTGTCAACAAGCTTCAGGTATAGTAATTAATTAATCTTATTTACTCTATCTTCTGTCATCCTATAGTAATAACAGTGCTTTAAGCTATCGATTCCATAATATTAAGGCTTGTAAGAAATGATGATTTGACTAGCAATTACTGAGGGCCTTCTTATCTATCTGTCTTTTTATTTTTATTTTTTTATCTGCCATATAATTCACCTATCTGTTATCTTTAATCGTCTTCAACATTTATAAACCTTTTTAAATATGAAACCTGGTAAACCTTTTTAAATATATTTGAAGTGTTTTGTTTGTAACTTCTCTCTCTCTCTCTCTCTCTCTCTCTCATACACATGTTCAAATGGGTTTTCACTAAACTTTTGTCACTCTTGATCTTACTAGTTTGTCATATAAGAAACTCTCATGAGCCTGAGAAGTATTGTAATTCCCTTTCACTGGTGAAGTGTTAGTACTGGACTATTAATTGGGCTTTAGCTCCGGAAAGTGTTTAAAGTGGAGACAGAGGAAAGGAAAGGAAAAGTATTATGCTAATGAACATGATTGCATGGTTTTGATTTCAATTTTCTGTCGGAATATTTTCCTATTTCTACCCAACAAGTTTTCTAACATCTTTTCTGTATATATTTTATGCAAATCAGAAATCACATTGTACAATGAGTTGCTTGGTAGAATTTACTCATCGTTTCTATTGGTCATACTTATAAAAGGAAGGATTTAGGTGATGATGGGTCATTTAAGTGGGAAATTGTTTTCGATCTTTGGATGTGCTTAATGCTAGATATTGTCTGGTTATGAACATCACATGATTTTAAACACCACCTTCGTCTCTGAAGAGGTGCTGAAGGTTTGTGGATTTAGTTTGGTGTGAAACAATTTCCTCCGTTTTGCCTCCTTTGCTAGTAAAGTGAAAACACTTATTTCTAGAAAGTTCTGTTACTAAAGTGATATTGCACATTTGCACGCATCAGATAACTGCAATGAGATATTATTTTTGTTTTTAAAAGTGAAACTAATAGTTTGGAATTGGCATAGTAGTTGCAAGGCCAAAAAGGAAAATCCAACAATCAGTGTTTAAGGATCTTGATAATTTTGTGCATTTTAAAGGTGGAGTTTATTGTTTTGCTTGAACATGGATTGGCACTTCCTTGTAAGATGACACACTTTAAACTTTGAAATTACAGATTTCCAAAATCACTGAAGAAGGTGTAACAATCTCTCAGCCCTACTCTTTGAAGACTTTCTGGGGTTTCTCTGCTTTTGAAAATCCAACATTGGGTGCTGAAGGATCATGGTAGTTGAATAGAGGCATGGCTTCTGAACATGAAACAGCCAACTAGGAGCTAAGTTGAACTTTAATGTGTTTCTACAGTTATTGGAATCAAGAATTTGTAACAGTGTTGACTCGAATATAGCTGGTTGACTTTTGAGAAACATTTTAGCTATAATACCCATCATTTTCTTAAATTTGGTGTTGCAGCATCCAACGAGTATGAACTTATTGTAGTGACACTTAAAGTAATATCTATTTTCCTTTGAATCATTTGGCCAGTATGTGGTTTGAAGATCATATAATCGGTTGCGGAATACATACATGCATACATTTATATATATATATATATATGCAATAATAGGAATAGGAATTCTATCTGGCATCTGATTTTCTTTGTTTTCGTACAAAATAGAGTGGTCTTCTTCTAAAATTTTTGGGATACTGGGGACAGTAGGAGGATATCATGGATTGTTAAGCAGGAGAAATGAGTTCTTGTTTGTTCTACACGGTTATTGAGCTAGGAGGGGATGGTTTTAATCAGTCTTAGTTGACAATTGGAAAGTTTCTTTAGATTATAAAATATTTTTGGATCCGTCAGATGTGAAATGCATGATCTATATTCTTTGTGATGAGACGATTATATTTATGCTCTCCGGATGGAAGGCGAACTGTCGGAAGCTTGAAACACTTGACCAAAAATGTTAACGTCCTGGGTTATTGTTGCGAAGAAAATTAGCGTTTTACAAGAATAGATTATTGCTTCAACATCTTAACGCAAACAGTATCATTTTGATGGATAATGTTTACTGATAAGACACTGTCGATTGAACATACATTGAAAGTTTATAGTGTGATAATGGAACACTGTCACGTGATATAACCAATTTATGTGCTAAACTCACCATTACCTTTCGGTCATAAATTTTTTTGGCATCACCACCATCTGGGCTGTTAGAAACATACAAATTACTGGACTTGACTAAACTTACAAATTGGGCTTGGTTTAGACCCAAATGCATGAAGCTAATCTTATTGCTTTGTCTCTAACCATGACACCGTCGCCTCACCAACTCAATAATTGCTTCGATTTGCCGATCGATAATCTTCGGTGATGATTGAGATGCCTACTCGCCTGCGACGACCTCGTTTGGGTTTCTCCGTTCCGAAGGCCGCTTGTTTTACGAGTTTGACTGCGGGCATCTGCACTCGTTGATGGTTTCTCATTTTCTCCTGCATATTTTCATTATATCTTTGATAAAAATTTGAAACTAAAAATTAAATGCTTAATAAAAAATTCATATCTTCATCAATATTTAACAAATCCTCTAGTAAGCACATTATGAAACCAGGAGAAATCATCCATGAAGTCAGGCCTTTTTGAACTATTCAATTCAACTATGCTTCTGCAAAACAAGGTTGGCAATAGGGGAGTAGCCCAACTCCTTATAAAACTTTGCAAGGTTTCTCAATTTTTCAATGTGGGACTTTTTACCTTCACATTCTCACACGCCCCGCACATATGGTGAATTTTCAAGCCTAACACGTGGACAATACATATTGGGTGACGTGGAACACGTGTGGCCGTTGGACTTTCACACGTGGGCTAACTCGCTCTGATAACATGAAGGAAGTTGAGGTTCCACCCCAAAACTGTATCAGAGCAAGGCTTCACGTGTTGGGCCCAACGGCCACACGTGCTCCCACGTCACCCAATATATGATGTTCACGTGTTAAGCTTGAAAATTCGCTACACGTGCGGGGGCGTGTTGAGAGTATTTGTCCCACATTAAAAAGTTAAGGGACCAAGCCTGGGTTTATAAGGAGTTGGGCTACTCCCCCCATTGCCAATTGGTTATGGGGTGGAACCTCAACTTCCTTCATGATAATATATACAAAACCCCAACTGGATAAGCATTGCGAACTTCAAGGACATGTCGCGCGTATCTATATCAACTTTTCAATAGAAATTCAATGCATTATTTTTTCGTTTAGAAAACTAGTGGTAGATAAGGTGATTACAATAAATTTGTAACTTTTATATATGTCTCCATTTTGAGTTATTTACACTAACATCTCCTGAGGTTTTCGGCTTTTTCACAAAACTCATTGAGGTTTTAGAAATTACAAGAACATCATTTGAGGTTTTAAATTATTTTCACAAGACTCCTTTTCATTGATTTTTCATCCAAAGATTGATGATTTTATACAAAAAAATTCTCCAACTGACAAAATTGGCTTTTGAGATTAGATTGCATATATTTCATTGAGGTTAATTTTGTCATTTACATAAGTTTTTTTTTATATAAATGAAATCATTAAACGAAAAAGAATTTGTCAAAACAAAAAGACTTGTGTTTTTCTTCTTCTTTTCTTCTTTTCTTTTGTGACTTGGCATTGTGCGCGTCTCTTCCCTCTCCTTTCATGCCTCTTTCCCCTATGCTTCCTTGCATTTTCCTGACCTTCAATCTTAGCCGTCCAGTAGATCGTGTAGCCAATAAGATATTATATTTTCACTGTTCCCCCACGTGGGAACTTTTGCTTTTGTTGACTGAAACGTTTGAGGACCTTGACTATGCGTATTTCGAATTTATTCATCTGCGCTGCAACACACAAACCAGTGACCACTACCCAGAAAAAATAATTGATTATGAAATAACTTCTTCTGCTCAAGTCGGATCGGAAGGCCAACTTGTGCATAATTTGTTGCTGGTCTGATCTGAACCGGTAGCTCCTCCAGTATCAATTAATGGATGCCGGGAAAGCCCATAAAGCATCCTCTTCATCCTCACCATCCACCTCCTCATCAAAACGTTGGGAGTACCAAGTGTTCTTGAGCTTCAGAGGTGAAGACACACGCAAGGGCTTCACAGGCCACCTCCACGCCGCATTATCTAATGCCGGAATCCGCTCCTTTCTTGACGACGAAGAGCTAAAAAGAGCGGAATTTATAAAAACCCAACTGGAGCAGGCAATCGACAGTTCCATGATCTCCATAATTGTCTTCTCCCAGCGTTATGCCGATTCCAGTTGGTGTCTTGACGAGCTGGTGAAGATCATGGAGTGTAGAGAACGATTGGGGCAACAGGTTATTCCATTGTTCTATAATGTTGAGGCTTCAGATGTCCGGAAACAGACTGGTAGTTTTGCAGAAGCTTTTGAGAAACATGAAGCGGGCAAACATGAGAAAGAAAAGGTACAGCGATGGAGGAATGCTCTCCGTCAAGCAGCAGATTTGTGTGGGGAAGATCTTAAAAATGCTGACAATGGGTAATTACTAATTTCTTGTTCCTTGGATTATCATCTCCTTACTTTACAACCATATGTTTTCTGTCCTTTTTGTTTTTGTTTTTGTTTTTCCAACTATGTTTTCTTTTTTACTTTGTTTGTTTGGTTTGGTTTAACGAAGCATTCTTTCTTACTTGATAATGTAAGATCCATTTAACATTTAATGTTAAATCCCAATATTAATTGTTAATTATATCTTAGTATAAAAAAGAAAATAATTTGGTCATTCTAAATGATTAAGTTAGGGATTCAATTTAACCTTGTAGTTTGTTCCACATCGAATGATTCGTAGTTCTGCTTCTTTGTTTAATTGCCAGGCATGAAGCAAAGTTTATCAACAAAATTCTTGGGGTGGTTAATAAGCAGTTGTACAACAAATCCCAATTAGACATCAAACACCCTGTTGGAATTACTTCTCGGGTGAAGGCTTTGAGTAATCACTTGCATATTGAAAATTCAGGTTCTAAGGATGATGTTCGCATGATCGGTATTTGGGGGATGGGCGGCATTGGGAAAACAACGCTTGCCAAAGCCATTTATAACGAATTTGAAGGTAGCTTTGAAGGTAGGAGTTTCCTTGCAAACGTGAGGGAAGTAATTGCAAACCAACCCATTAATGGTCTGGTTCGTTTGCAAAAACAACTTCTAAATGATATCTTGAAAAGCGAGGGCGTAAAGGTTGACTCCTTTCTTAAAGGAATCGAGATGATAAGAAAAAGACTTCCCTGTAAAAGAGCACTTGTCATAATTGACGATGCAGATGATCTAAAGCAACTAGAAGCAATAGCTGGAGCTCGTGATTGGTTTGGTCGTGGAAGTAGAATTGTTATAACAACAAGAAATAAACATTTGCTAGAGCACGTTAGAGTGGATAGCACATATATGGCTCAAGAAATGGATGAGGAAGAAGCTCTAGAGTTCTTTAGTTGGCATGCCTTCAAAAGATGTTATCCTGATCAAGAATATCTTGACCTCTCAAAACGTGTAATTCGTTACTGTCAAGGCTTGCCACTAGCACTTGAAGTTGTAGGGTCTTTTCTGATTACAAGGCGCCCGGCGGAGTGGAAAAGCCATTTGGAGAAATTGCAAACAAGTCCTGCTGGAGGTATTCAAAAAATACTCAGAATAAGCTTTGACAGTCTACCTGATGATGAAATGAGAAAGATATTCCTTGATATATCTTGTTTCTTTATTGGAGAGGACAAGGACCGTGTAACAAAAATATTAGATGGATGTGGCTTTTTGTAACGATAGGAATCAGTGTCCTCATTGAACGGTGCCTTGTAACTGTTAGTGAGTACAACAGGCTGGGGATGCATGATTTGCTTCGAGACATGGGAAGAGATATTGTTTATGAAAATGCCCATGGCCGCCCAGAAAAATTTAGTAGATTGTGGAAACGTGAATACGTAACAGATGTTTTGAGCGATGAATCTGTAAGTACTTTCCCAATGCATCATGCAAGAGAAGCATATGTATCCCGTGTCCATAATAAATTTTTTTGTTTTTGTTTTTGTTTAGTACAAGCGCTAAATCAAAGTAAAAGAGGGAGTTCTCACACATCCACACTACCAAGGTGCCATATGAATATGAACCTGAGACTTTAGTCTACAAGTTTAAATCATTTTTCACTTCACTAGACCCCGTTGAACAAAGCTCAATTAGGCATAACCAACAAAAAATATGTGCTTTGATTGCAAACACAAACTATAGGGCGTAACACGGTCCAATACTATTAATTATACCTTTTGGTTAATACGTACACAGAATTTCATGTCAGTAAATCATTTTTCTAATTCGGTATCTTTTTTAACAGGGAACTGAAGAAATTGAAGGAGTTGCTCTAAATTTGCCTCTTTATCGAGATCTGGATTCGAGTAGATTCAGTGCACAAGCATTTACCAAGATGAAAAAACTGAGGTTACTCCACCTCAGCAACGTAGAGCTCACTGGAGAGTACAAATATTTTCCCAAAAAGCTAATATGGTTGTGCTGGCATTATTTTCCTTTAGAGTCCATACCAGATGACTTTCCTACGCAACCAAAACTAGTTGCTTTAGACCTGCAGTGTAGCAGACTCAAAATAGTTTGGAAGGATTGCAAGGTAAAATAATCTCAACCAAAACTAGTTGTTGTTGGTTCTTTCCTTCTGGTTCTATACATATATTATACTTCACCTTCTCTTCATTTGGTTTAATTTCTGTATCAGAGACCTTCCTTTTGGATTTTAATTTCCATTCTAATTTTGTTTTTGTGTAACAGTTGCATCGGCATTTGAAAATCCTTAATCTCAGCCATTCCCCTTGGCTAACAAAATCACCAGACTTTTCAAAACTCCCAAATCTCGAGGAATTGATATTGGAAGGCTGTGTGAGTTTGTCAGAGGTTCACTCATCCATCGGGGATCTTAGAAGACTTTCTTTGGTAAATCTTGAAGGCTGCACCGATCTAGAGGATCTCCCGCTGAATTTCTATAAATCCAAGTCTGTTGAAACTCTTCTACTTGATCATTGTTCAAGTTTTGAAAAGTTGGCTGAGGGCTTAGGGGACATGGTATCGTTGACAACTCTGAAAGCAGATTACACAGCCATCAGACAAATTCCATCTTCCATATTAAAATTGAAGAAACTGAAAGTTGTATCTTTATGTGATGTGCGAGGGTCGCCATCAACAAATCTTTTGCCTCATTCGTTGCAAAGTTTAAGCTCTTTAAGAGAATTAGCTCTTGCAGACTGGAGTTTAACCGATGATGCATTCCCCAAGGATATCGGTGGCCTAATATCCTTAGAAAGATTAGATCTTGCAAGCAATGACTTTTGTAGCCTACCAAGCCTCAGTCGTCTTTCACAGCTTCAAGATTTGTCTTTAAAGAAGTGCATAAATCTTCGTGCAATCCCAGATTTACCAACAAATTTGAAAGTCTTACGAGCAGATGGCTGCGTTGCATTGGAAAAAATGCCAGATTTTTCAGAAATGTCAAATATAAGAGAATTGTATCTACGTGATTCAGGCAAACTCACTGAGATTCCAGGCCTGTATAAGTCATTAAACTCCATGACAAGGATTCATATGGAAGGCTGCACCAATCTGACTGCTGATTTTAGGAACAGCATCCTACAGGTCAATCCTTCTCTATCTCTCTCTCATACATCTTTCTCTTTCTATCTGTTAGTTTAAGAGAGAAGAGGTTTAGAGAATGGTCGGTAGTGTTTAAGACAATAGTTTAATTTGGAATGGAAAACTTTTGAAAGAGAAACAAGGCTTTAATACTTGAGTTTGATGATTGCATTAATTGGACAGCTGTAGTTTTCCAGCTTACATTTTCGTATAGGCATCAAGCCTATATATAGGAGATTGAACCGACAGTAGCCTAGTCGGTGAGATTAGCTCTTTGAATATTTTATATTATAGCACACTTTGATCTCTCAGATTTTTTGTATTCACCGACTTTGTTAAGTCGGTTTGCACATTCATTAAAATTCTAGACTTTTCTATATCATTCAAGACTTTTGTATACTATTTAAGGTATAGGTGTGTATTACTTTTTAATATTGTCTCATACAACGCATATGTACACATGCATGCATAAGAATGTATTTCTTATAGAAATTTGGCTCTACATGGTATAGGGATGGACTTCTTGCGGATATGGTGGCATTTTTCTCAGTGGAAATGATATTCCTGATTGGTTCGACTGTGTCCATGACGATGATATTGTGTATTTCACTGTGCCTCAAAGTGATGGTCGTAATTTGAAAGGGTTAACTTTGTCCTTCGTTCGCTCTTTAGGCTTCCACAGTGTTGATTGTATTAACATTAAAAACATGACCAAGGGTACTGAGCTTGAAGCCAGGATCATACCCGATTATCGACCTAGGGCTAGGGGTTATTATCTTTGGCAGGGACAGTTATCAAATGACGAGCTCAAATTGCAAGACGGTGATAAAGTCTGGATTGAAATAATAATAGTGGACAAATGGGTGAAGGTGAAGAAAACAGGTGTTAGTCTGGTATGGGACAAATTTATGAACGAAAATCTGATTGATTACCATCTTTGTCGATATGAACGACGCCCATCTCAAAATCTGATCAATGATGATGACACCATTCGTGTCGAAAATGATAATCGCATAACATATTTACCAGACTTTTCAAAATTCCCAAATCTCGAGAAGTTGATATTGAAAGGTTGTGAGCGCTTGTATAAGGTTCACTCATCCATCGGGGATCTTGGAAGACTTTCTTTGGTAAATCTTGCAGGCTGCTGTAAGCTAATCGATCTCCCGCTGACTTTCTATAAATCCAAGTCTATTGAAACTCTTATACTGAATGGTTGTTCAAGATTTGAAAACTTGGCAGATGGCTTAGGGGACATGGTATCATTGACAACTCTGGAAGCGAATTTCATAGCCATAAGACAAATTCCACCTTCCATAGTAAAATTGAAGAAGTTGAGAATTTTATCTCTATCTGGTGAGAATTTTGAAATTCCATCTTTTACCCCTTTCATTACATGCCTTAAACTCTTTAATAGAGTTATTATGTCTTGCAGGCTGCTGGCGGTTAACTGAGGATGCTATCCCTAAGGATCTATGTGGCCTAATTTCCTTAGAAGATCTGCTTCTTGAAGCCAATAAATTTCGTAGCCTGCCAAGTCTCGCTGGTCTTTCAAAGCTCAAGGTCTTGTGTGTAAATGCATGCAAATTTCTTCGTGCAATCCCAGATTTACCAAACAATTTGCATGTTCTGAAAGCAAATGACTGCCCAGAATTGGAAACAATTCCAGATTTTTCAAAAATGTGGAATATGAGAGAATTGTATCTCTGTGATTCGTTCAAACTCACTGAGGTTCCAGGCTTGGATAAGTCATTAAACTCCATGACAAGGATTCATATGGAAGGCTGCACCAATCTGACTGCTGATTTTAGGAACAGCATCCTACAGGTCAATCCTTCTCTATCTCTCTCTCATACATCTTTCTCTTTCTATCTGTTAGTTTAAGAGAGAAGAGGTTTAGAGAATGGTTGGTAGTGTTTAAGACAATAGTTTAATTTGGAACGGAAAACTTTTGACAGAGAAACAAGGTAGTTTTTATTCTAATGATTGAGGTAGGAAAGGTACAAGGCTTTAATACTTGAGTTTGATGATTGCATTAATTGGACAGCTGTAGTTTTCCAGCTTACATTTTCGTATAGGCATCAAGCCTATATATAGGAGATTTAACCGACAGTAGCCTAGTCGGTGAGATTAGCTCTTTGAATATTTTATAGGGCTTGTCCAATATAGATCCCTACATTTTCTATTTCTAGACATATACCCATCACTCTATAAATCTATGTGTAAAACCCAATTTCAAATTTAAATGACTAGTATGATATAAGAGGTCGTAGTATTTCTATGTTTTTACATCATTGCCACCAAACTTCATATTTTATTTATAATTTATTTCAAGCATTTCATTAACTGCCATAATTGTAATTAATATACTCCCTATTAATAGCATATCAATCACCCCATTTCTTTTAGTTGTCATTCCCTCTCACATCTCGCCCCCTAAAATTACAAACAAAAAAAAAAAAAAACTGTAAATTACATATCCAATAATGTACCTATGAAAAATATAATATAAATATATACATATAAAATATAGGTATATTATTTACCAAAAAAAAAAAAAAACAAAGTCAGTTACTTTGTAATTGCGTATATTTTTCATAATTAAAAATAGGTACACAATAATTTATATAAAATATAGGTACATTATTTACCCACAGGTAAATTATTTTACAATATACCTGTAAATGTGTATAGGTACATTATTTGGAATAGATAATTATGTACACTTTTCATACTAGGTAAATTATGTTTTTCATAAAACAAACAAGTAATAGGTACATTATTTTTTCAACATAATTAGTATGTACAGTTTTATTCATAAACAATTATAAAGTGGATTATTAGTCATGTATAATTCATAAAAAGAAAATAACATAAACATTTTATTAAACAAACCGATTACCTAAATTTGAATTTATTGTTAAATTTTTTTTAAAATGTTTCAAAATTAATTCCTACATCCATTACAACCATTTGGAGATCTTTCCAAATTCAACATCTGTCATTATATACAATCCAATTAAAAACTGTTTTCATATTGATTCCTACATTAATATACAAAATGCAATAATGGCTTAGTTGGGGGTATTTTTGGAATCTGAAAAGTACAATAAATCAGATTTTGTACTTAATTAGGTAATTTGCTGAGTTGGATCATAGTTATGAGTTTTTACTTATACAAATTGGGTATTATTTATAGGAACAAAAAGTGAAGGGTTTTAGGTACAACAAATTGAATTTGAAGGGTGTAAGCCAAATTTACTATATTTTATATTATAGCACACTTTGATCTCTCAGATTTTTTGTATTCACCGACTTTGTTAAGTCGGTTTGCACATTCATTAAAATTCTAGACTTTTCTATATCATTCAAGACTTTTGTATACTATTTAAGGTACATGTGTGTATTACTTTTTAATATTGTCTCATACAACGCATATGTACACATGCATGCATAAGAATGTATTTCTTATAGAAATTTGGCTCTACATGGTATAGGGATGGACTTCTTGCGGATATGGTGGTATTTTTCTCAGTGGAAATGATATTCCTGATTGGTTCGACTGTGTCCATGACGATGATATTGTGTATTTCACTGTGCCTCAAAGTGTTGGTCGTATTTTGAAAGGGTTAACTTTGTCCTTCGTTTTCACTTCAGACTTGCGCGATTGTCGTATTATCATTAAAAACATGACCAAGGGTACTGAGCTTGACGCCATGATATTACACAACGATTTTTCAACGCTAACTGGGTATCTTTGGCAGGGACAGTTATCAAATGACGAGCTCAAATTGCAAGACGGTGACGAAGTCTTGATTGAAATAATAAAAAAATATAATTCGTTTATGGTGAAGAAAACAGGTGTTAGTCTGGTATGGGACAAATTTATGAACGAAAATCTGATTGATTACCATCTTTGTCGATATGAACGACGCCCATCTCAAAATCTGATCAATGATGATGACACCTTTCGTGTCGAAAATGATAATCGCATAACATATTTACCAGACTTTTCAAAATTCCCAAATCTCGAGAAGTTGATATTGAAAGGTTGTAAGCGCTTGTATAAGGTTCACTCATCCATCGGGGATCTTGGAAGACTTTCTTTGGTAAATCTTGCAGGCTGCCGAAAGCTAATCGATCTCCCGCTGACTTTCTATAAATCCAAGTCTATTGAAACCCTTATACTGAATGGTTGTAGGAGATTTGAAAACTTGGCTGATGGCTTAGGGGACATGGTATCATTGACAACTCTGGAAGCGAATTTCATAGCCATAAGACAAATTCCACCTTCCATAGTAAAATTGAAGAAGTTGAGAATTTTATCTCTATCTGGTGAGAATTTTGAAATTCCATCTTTTACCCCTTTCATTACATGCCTTAAACTCTTTAATAGAGTTATTATGTCTTGCAGGCTGCTGGCGGTTAACTGAGGATGCATTCCCTAAGGATCTATGTAGCCTAATTTCCTTAGAAGATCTGCTTCTTGGAGCCAATAAATTTCGTAGCCTGCCAAGTCTCGCTGGTCTTTCAAAGCTCAAGGTCTTGTGTGTAAATGCATGCAAATTTCTTCGTGCAATCCCAGATTTACCAACAAATTTGAAAGTCTTACGAGCAGATGGCTGCGTTGCATTGGAAAAAATGCCAGATTTTTCAGAAATGTCAAATATAAGAGAATTGTATCTACGTGATTCAGGCAAACTCACTGAGATTCCAGGCCTGTATAAGTCATTAAACTCCATGACAAGGATTCATATGGAAGGCTGCACCAATCTGACTGCTGATTTTAGGAACAGCATCCTACAGGTCAATCCTTCTCTATCTCTCTCTCATACATCTTTCTCTTTCTATCTGTTAGTTTAAGAGAGAAGAGGTTTAGAGAATGGTCGGTAGTGTTTAAGACAATAGTTTAATTTGGAATGGAAAACTTTTGAAAGAGAAACAAGGCTTTAATACTTGAGTTTGATGATTGCATTAATTGGACAGCTGTAGTTTTCCAGCTTACATTTTCGTATAGGCATCAAGCCTATATATAGGAGATTTAACCGACAGTAGCCTAGTCGGTGAGATTAGCTCTTTGAATATTTTATATTATAGCACACTTTGATCTCTCAGATTTTTTGTATTCACCGACTTTGTTAAGTCGGTTTGCACATTCATTAAAATTCTAGACTTTTCTATATCATTCAAGACTTTTGTATACTATTTAAGGTACAGGTGTGTATTACTTTTTAATATTGTCTCATACAACGCATATGTACACATGCATGCATAAGAATGTATTTCTTATAGAAATTTGGCTCTACATGGTATAGGGATGGACTTCTTGCGGATATGGTGGCATTTTTCTCAGTGGAAATGATATTCCTGATTGGTTCGACTGTGTCCATGACGATGATATTGTGTATTTCACTGTGCCTCAAAGTGTTGGTCGTAATTTGAAAGGGTTAACTTTGTCCCCTTTGCTCTTCAAACTTATTTCGGTTGTCGTATTAGCATTAAAAACATGACCAAGGGTACTGAGCTTGACGCCAGGATCATACCTGACTATGACCTTTGTGAAAATTATGGTTATGATCTTTGGCAGGGACAGTTATCAAATGACGAGCTCAAATTGCAAGACGGTGATAAAGTCTGGATTGAAATAATAGTGGACAAATGGGTGAAGGTGAAGAAAACAGGTGTTAGTCTGGTATGGGACAAATTATGAACGAAAATATGATTGATTACCATCTTTGTGCGTATGAACGACGCCCATCTCAAAATCTGGTCAATGATGATGACATCATTCATGTCGAAGATGATAATCACATAACAAAATCACCGGACTTTTCAAAATTCCCAAATCTCGAGAAGTTGATATTGAAAGGTTGTACGCACTTGTATAAGGTTCACTCATTCATCGGGGATCTTGGAAGACTTTCTTTGGTAAATCTTGAAGGCTGCACCGATCTAGAGGATCTCCCACTGAATTTCTATAAATCCAAGTCTATTGAAACTCTTATACTGAATGGTTGTTCAAGGTTTGAAGACTTGGCTGATGGCTTAGGGGACATGGTATCATTGACAATTTTGAAAGCAGATAACACGCGCATCAGACAAATTCCATCTTCCATAGTAAAATTGAAGAAGTTGAGAATTTTATCTCTATCTGGTGAGAATTTTGAAATTCCATCTTTTACCCCTTTCGTTACATGGCTTAAACTCTTTAATAGAGTTATTATGTCTTGCAGGCTGCTGGCGGTTAACTGAGGATGCAATCCCTAAGGATCTATGTAGCCTAATTTCCTTAGAAGATCTGCTTCTTGGAGCCAATGACTTTTCGTAGCCTGCCAAGTCTCGCTGGTCTTTCAAAGCTCAAGGTCTTGTGTGTAAATGCATGCGGAAAACTTCTTGCAATCCCAGATTTACCAACCAATTTGTATGTTCTGAAAGCAAATGACTGCCCAGAATTGGAAACAATTCCAGATTTTTCAAAAATGTCGAATATGAGAGAATTGCATCTATGTGATTCGGTCAAACTCACTGAGGTTCCAGGCTTGGATAAGTCATTAAACTCCATGACAAGGATTCATATGGAAGGCTGCACCAATCTGACCGCCGATTTTAGGAACAGGTCTCTCTCTCTCTCTCTCTCTCTCTCTCTCTCTCTCTCTCACTCTCTCTCTCTCTCACACACACACAAACAAGAGGCACAGCTGCAGATGCGGCCCATATAATGATATATGCATGCATGTATAAGAATGTATTGCTTCTGGTGTGCAGAGATGGACTTCTTGCGGATTTGGTGGAATTTATTTGAATGGAATTTATGGTATTCCTGAGTGGTTCAAAATCGTCAATGATGTGGAAAATTTCGTCTTCTTTAAAGTTCCTCAAAGAATCATGGGTCGTGATTTAAAAGGGTTGACTATATGCTTCGTTTACTCTTCAGACAAACATTATCCGGGATTTGAAGATTCTCAAAGTCTTATTGGCATTGAAGTTAGAAATCTTACCAAACAAACTGCTTTGCACACCAAGATAGCAATTGCCTCCTTAAAAACTTGGAAAAGACCAAGTCTTTGGCAGGGACAATTGTCAAACGATGTGCTCCGTTTGCAAGGCGGGGACCAAGTCTCCATTCTTGTAAGGCCTGATGATGTTGATTTGGTGAGAGTGAAGAAGACAGGGGTTCATCTAGAATGGGACAAAGTCATGAAGGAAATATGGATAATCCGGATCCTCATTTGTATGATTGGGAAACAATGGGGATTTTTTAGGAGGAGTTGATGAGTCCATTTCAAGAAATTGTTGTCACTGAGACGAATGGTAACCATACTGAGCTAGCCATTAATGTTGATGGAGGAAGAAGAAGCCATGATGAAGCAGAGAGAAATTGCAATCTTGATTTCTATATATCTTAATCTTTTAAGCAACAGCACTTTATACAGCTGTCTAACTAATTCACATCAATGTTAACAACTCACGTGCCTTGAACACCTAACTCACACCTGAATTAGACCAATACTCCAATGCCGGTTAAGACAACAGCACTTGCCAAAACTCCAGTGTGGAGAGACGTCCATCCCGTTTTCTGGGTTGTGGTTTGGTAAGATGACCCAAATCTATTACAAAGTTACAAATTTTAGTAGGAAATCTACTTCAATGATTTGGTGATGAGATGACTCAAATGAGAGAGCCACGCAGAGACCACCACCTGTCTCAAAGCCCCACATGTCACATTCTGGTGCACTCTTCACTTCTGTAGGTAGTAGACACGTGTCAGCATAAGCATCAACATACACTTCACGCCTCCTTCGCACATGAAACATCACAAACCACTCGTGCACAAAAATCGAGGTATTTGTATGAGATAGCTCTTTACAAGGCTGAATAATACATGAGCTTCACATTTAAGCCCAAACGTAGATCCCAAAATATAGAAAATTCTATGCAATCCAAATTCTATAAAACAGCCCAGTTGGACTATTCCATGGGCTTACCAATACAAACAACCCTTGAAAATTGTAATTTAAAAAACAGCCACTGCGATAATATTATTAGATACCCAAACACAATTTTTCAGCCACTTTGTTACAAAAATACCCATTACAAAACCAACAAAAAAACATGATATCTTATGCTTTTGGCCCTTGATTAGAACCCCCTTTGTCTGGATATCCATCTTTCATACAACTGCATCATATACAGTCCTTTGACACACTGCACTATTTGTATATATATCAACTTTTCAATAGAAATTTAATGCATTATTTTTTCGTTTAAAAAACTACTAGTAGATAAGGTGATTATATAAATTTGTAATCTTTGTACACACTGTATGTCTCCATTTTTCTTTAAGTTGTAATATTAAATTTAAACCCATACAGCTACAGTATGATGTTAAGGATATTCCTTTTTTATTTTTTAAAGTTACACACATACTTCACAGGGGTACCCCCACCATTCAGTGTAATAATCAAACATTTTATAATTTCTTTTTATCAAGTGAAAACTTCATTAGATAAACTTCAACGGTACAATCAAAGACATCAATAAGACATCTAAATACTAATTCCAAGAGGACAACAAACTAACATGTTAAAAGTAAAACTAACGAGGACAAAAGCCGCACTAAAACTACTAGCCCTAAGCCCAAACAAAGCACATAAACCCAACATAACCAAAACTCTAAAACAACCCATGAGTCTAAACGAACCTGCCACTACTCCTTGAAGAAGCGTCGTCACAGCCACAGCCACCACCGCATCCGCAACATATGTGGGGAAAATATGATTTCTAGCGATCTATCTGCGCATAAGAGCGAACAAATAAATGAAAATAACAACTTACCAGAGAACAATTAGGTAATTTGCAGCAACCTTCGTTAAAGATGATGTAGAAAAAATTTAGAGAACATGAGCGGCGTTAAGGAGTAGGATTTAATTGAGAACATAGACTAAAGGGGTGATGGGGAACTTCAATCTAACCATGGCTTAGAAGAACCATCAAAAGTATCTTTTTATCCAAAACGTCCTAGTGGAATTATTCACTAACCTAAAAGGAAAAGATGAGAAGAGATGAGAGGGAGGAAGGGCTGATTAGAATGGGACGAAGTCATGAAGGAAATATGGATGATCCGGATCCTCATTTGTATGATTTGGAAACAAATCGGGATTTTTCAGGGCTAGTTGATGACGCATTTGTTCCCAATCAAACAAGTGTTATACATGCATTTGTTCGGACTAATCAATTGAGTGATGCGGATGAACAATTAGCATTGGAGTTGATGACTCCATTTCAAGAAATTGTACCATACTGAGCAAGCCATCAATGTTGATGGAGGAAGAAGAAGCCATGATGAAGCAGAGAGAAATTGCAATCTTGATTTATGTATTTCTTAATCGTTTAAGCTACAACACTATTACACTTTATACAGCTGTTTAACTGACCACTAACAACTCACGTGCCTTGCACACCTAACTCTTTACAAGGCCAAATAATACATGAGCTTCACATTTAAGCCCAAACATAGATCCCAAAATATAGAAAATCCTAAAAACAGTCCAGTTGGACTATTCAATGGACTTACCAATACAAACAACCCTTGAAAATTATACAATTTAAAAAATACAAATTTATAAATAAACCCAATCCTAGACATGTATTTATAAAAAAACCCAAGCACTATTTAAACATAGAAACACACCCAAAATCAACAATTGTATATTTTTTGGGTGTGTTTATAAATGGGTTTTGAGTGTGTGTAATGATGGGTTTTGGGTGTGTTTATAAAGTGTTTTGGGTGTTGGGTTTTTTTATAATTTCAGCCCCCATTTTGGGTGTTTTAGTGAAACTCTCTTTAAAAAATTGCCACTGCAATAATATTACTAGATACCCAAACACAAAGCCCACTTTGTTACAAAAATGCCCATTACAAAACCGACAAAAAAACATGATATCTTATGCTTTTGGCCCTTGATTAGAACCCTCTTTCTCTTGATATCCATCTTTCATACAACTGCATTATATATAGTCCTTTGACACACTGCATTATTTGTATCTATATCAACATTTCAATAGAAATTTAATGCATTATTTTTTTCGTTTAGAAAACTAGTGGTAGATAAGGTGATTACAATAAATTTTTAATCCTTTTACACATTCTATGTCTCCATTTTTCTTTAACTTGTAATATTAAATTTTAAACCCATACAGCTACAATATGATGTTGAGGATATTCCTTTTTTTTTTAAATAAAAATTACACACATACTTCACAGGGATACCTCCACAATTCATTGTAATAATCTATAACATTTTATAATATTTTTTTTATCAAACTTCAACGGTACAATCAAAGACATCAACAAGACATCTAAAATACCAATTCTAAGAGGGCAACAAACTAACATGCTAAAAGTAAAACTAACGTGGACAAAAGCCGCACTAAAACTACTAGCCCATATCACCAGAATTAGTCATAAGCCCAAACAAAACCCACACAACCCAACATAACCAAAACTCTAAAACAACCCATGAGCTATGTTGCATGGACACTCCAAATTGCTGGAGTGTCGAAGTGTTAGACACGTCGACACGGTACCGACACACCCTCGACAAGCATTGGACATGGTCAAAGGCTGGGACATGGTCAAGCCACGGCTCCGACACGGTCAAGACATGTCATGGACCAGTTTGAAATTTTGAAAATAAAAGCAAGGGTCTAAACATGATTTTTGAAACTTTGGTGGACTGATTTGAAATATTTTTTAAAAGAGGGGTTTAAAGTGGAAAAATACTTTTTTAAACCTAAAGCTCACCATTTCAGCAGCCATATTTCGTTTCCTTCTTCACAGTGCACATCTCTTCTCCCCCTCTCCTGGTTTTGCACAAGGTAAGTCTCTTTGCAATTTTTTTTTCTCTGTTTTCAAATGCATTTATTTATTTTCTCTATTTTCTTTTCTTATCTCCCTCCACAGCAGTTGAAGAGTTGGACTTGGTGATAAAGTGACGATGCTTTCTTCTGTTTTTTTAAAGAGAAACACAATTTTATTGGAAAATGCGGGTGTGCTTGAAATTGCAAACCTTTCACTTGATGAACCGGAATTAGAGTTGGATCATTTATGTTTTATTTTGTGGTGTATTAAATATTATGTATGTATGATGAATATGAGTTATTTGTTTTGTTTTATGGAATTATGTGACATTGAAGTATTGAGAATAAATTATTATTTTAATTGCCGTGTCCTAGCCGTGTCTGTGTTCTAATTTTTTGAGATTTTTCGTGTCGCTGTGTCGCGTTCCTGTGTCCCCGTACCCGTGTCCGTGCAACATAGCCCATGAGCCTAAACGAACTCTACCACTACCACCTAAAGAAGCGTCGTCACAGCCACACCCACCACCGCATTCGTAATAGATGTTGGGAAAATATGATTTCTAGCGATCTATCTGCACATAAGAGCGAACAAATAAATGAAAACAACAGTTTTGCCAAAGAACAATTGGGTGATTTGTAGCAACCCCCCTTAAAGACGATGTAGAAACAAATTTAGAAAACATTAGCGGCTTTAGGGAGCGTATTTTGGGAGTAGGAATTGATTGAGAACATAAACTAAAATGGGTGATGGGGAACTTCAATCTAACCATGGCTTAGAAGAAACCACCACAATGGGCTTTTTACCCCAATGGACTCATTCACTAACCTAAAAGAAAGAGACGAGACGAGATGATGGGGAGGAGGGGCACTAACTCCATGAAAAGATTTCATATGGAAGGCTACACCAATCTAACTGCTAATTTTAGGAACAGCATCCTACAGCTATAGTATGATGTTAAGTATATTCCTTTTTTATTTATTTATAAAAATTACACACATACTTCACAGGGGTACCCCCACAATTCATTGTAATAACCATAACATTTTATAAAAAAATTTATCAAGTAGAAACTTCATTAGATAAACTTCAACGGTACAATCAAAGACATCAACAAAATATCTAAAATACCAATTCCAAGAGGGCAACAAACTAACATGCTAAAAGTAAAACTAACATGACCATTATTATAAACCTCTCAAATGGCACATTAGCGCGGCATTGTAGCCAAAAAATGTGCAAATGCAATGGGAGCAATGGAGCCATCTACCATCTCATCTTATTTTAATCGCACAGATTGTCCCGAAAAACATAAACGAAAATAAAATCATATTTTCTTAATTACGCTGATTATCAAAACGCTTTTAGCAAAACGCATATGAGCAAAAGATGTAGGTTATTAAGGTCATTCCATAAAAAGAGTAAAGTTGTCACTAAGATTTCATCAAATGGTTAGACGGGATACAAAAGTTGAGATAAGTTACAACTACATCCATAAACAGTGTGAAAACATTCTTAATCTACCAATGACATTAGGGCAACTAATGCACATGATTTTTATTTTTATTTTTGGCTGAAATAAAAGGATTCCTAGCTTCTTTATTTTTTAAGTTTATGAAACTACACATTTTCCGGGACGAAAAAGAAATAATATTTCAAAAATATGATGGCCATTCCCTTGCTAAAGAAGTTAGCATACAATTTTGATTTTTTAGTACCACTTATATAACTTTGAGGTCATTCGACATATATGCATGTTTGATAATGACGGGAGAGAGGTGAGAAATCATAGGATAATCAAAGCATATGTTAAAACTATTTGATTTTTTTTTTTTTTTTTTTTTTTTTTGTTGTTTTTTTTTGGTGGGGTTTTTTTTTTATACAAAACCAAACACACACATTTCATTGGTGTATATATTTATATTTTAAAATTAAAAATCTAATAAATTATAAAAAATAAAAAAAAATGTCCATTGTTGAAGCCAGCGCTTGTTATACTACTTTCTCATTTATTTCACCAACCTTGATCATTCTCTCTCTCTCTCTCAATTCTCTCTCTTTGTACCACATGGCTACCTCTGCAACTCATGAGAAAGTGCACCATGCTGGAGTTCCAGTTTATCCAAATGATATTGAGCAAAAGAAATGTAAAGAGCCAAAAGAAAGCGATTTTGACTACTTCCAGAGAGCCAGTTTGGGAGCCAACGATGGATTGGTCTCTATTGCTTCGGTAGGGGCAGTCAAAAGAGATATCAAAGCCATGCTGCTTGCTGGATTCGCCGGCTTAGTTGCCGGGGCATGCAGCATGGCAAATTGGAAATAGGAGAGTTTGTGGCTGTGTACACTCAACTTGACGTAGAGACGGCTCAAATTAAGAGAGAAAACAATAACATTACCAACGAAAAAGAAACTGCGAAAGCGAAAGAGAAGCTGCCGAGTCCATTTCAAGAGAGCGTGGCGTCTGCGTTTTCGTTTTTGGTGGGTGGATTAGTCCCACTAATGGCAGCCGCGTTCATCACCAATTACATGGTGATGGTTATTGCGGTGGTTGCAGTGTCTAGTTTGCAATTGGTGGTGTAGGGGCAGTTTTAGGCGAAACTTCTGCCGCAAGGTCTGTAGTAGGATGTTGCTTGGAAGGTGGATGGCCATGGCCATTACTTATGCCTGTTGGCAAGTCCTTACTTAGTTAGGATTTTGGTTCCTTATTTCATTAGAATTTTGGTTACTTACCAATTATTATTTAGTCCTATTGTAATAGAGATTTACTTCCTATTGTAATTTAGATATATTTCCTATTTTATTTAGGGTTAACACATCTTCGTACTTGTATAAATACCTCCATATGTACAGTCATTTTCTTTTGTTCAATCCTCTCATATGTCTTTTTCACCGCACCTAGCCTTCACATGCTTCTTTGCTACCATTCCAAAATTTTTATTTTTCATCTTTGTATGCCATATGGTCTTTCTTGATGTCTCAGCTTCTCTATCTTTGAAACTTCAAAACAAGTCTCTTTACTCAGTGAGCCTCGTCACCGCTCACGAGCCGTTGCTTTCCTCCGCGAGCCTCTTCACCCGCTCGCCGAGCCTTTCCTTTGACTGTTCTGCCTGTCTCTGTCTTCTTTAGCTACTCTCTTGAGTTACCTTTCCGCTTTTCAGTTTTGAGCACCCTTTCTCTGTTTCTCTCTTTGCTCTATTTAGGTCTCTTTTATTTATGTTTATCTCTTTTGTTTGTCTATGCCCAATGGCTGGTGTTTGTTGTGTTCTTTCCCCACGCCATCACTCCATCTCCGTCACTCTAGCCTTTCCTGTTGGGTGTTTTATTTTTATTTTTCTATCTCCTTCCCTTTTACCCTTATGCTTATTTCTTTCTACCTTTGGCCTCTTTCTAATATTCATCACTTTCTCTGTCTCTCTATTTCCTCATAGACACCTTCCTTTGTCATTATTTTCCTTCAATCACAACATTATTCTCTCCTTTTTTTTTCGGTTCTAGCACCTCACTTTCTTCCACTAGTTTCTTTTTAAAAATTGTCATATGCAATTTCCCATGCTTTACTTTTTAACCTCTTTAGTTTCTTCCTCATTGATCTACCGATGTGGTTTCCCCTGCTATGCAGCTGAACTCTTTTCATGTCATCTCTATTTCACATCTTTCTTTTACCAACCTTTTCCATTTTGTTGTTCTCTCACTGCATTATCTCTCGCTTTCACAGCTCCCTTATATAATATTGCTTCCCTTTGATTGGCACTCTATCTATTCCTATTCCACACATGAATGGTTTCCTTTTTTCGGTGTCCTTCGCTCTAATTCCCGTTGAGCACTTTATCTTTGTCTTTGTCTATGTTCATGATTTGCTGGGTTTCCTCCCTTACTATTCTCGTTCTCTAAAGTTTTTTTCTTCATAAGACAGCAGTATGCTACCACCTTCCTCTCTTGCATTTGTTTCTGCCACGAGACTGGCATGTTTAAGTCTCTTTACTATTATTTCAATTTCTCTTCTTCCAAATCTCGACCCTTTACCAGTGTCAAATTTGATGGGGAGATAGATGTAACTTTATTTAGGTGCTGCAACTTTATTTTTTGGTATTGCTTTCTCCAAATCTCGACTCTCATACATGATCGAATTTGATAGGGAGTGACACCGCTGCTCATCTATTCTGCTACAATTCAGCTACCTATATGCCATGGTTGATTCTGCTACATCTGAGCGTCAGTCAGCTTCTGTTTCTTAAGTGCCATTTTTCTTATGGTTCCGACAACCCCTTCTCTTCAAGGGGAGAAAGTGGCACATCCCGAGATCTGCTCCGCCGTAGCACGATATTGTCCGCTTTGGGCCCCCATCTCTGCCCTCACAGTTTTGTTTCTGGGAGCTCACGAGAAACTTCCCAATAGGTCACCCATCCTGGGATTGCTCTAGCCCCAACTCGCTTAACTTCGGAGTTCCCATGACTCCAAAGCCAGTGAGCTCCCAAAAGGCCTCGTGCTAAATTAAGGCGGGCATGTACATATAAAGCACATCACCCCCACTCCGTTGGTAGATGTGTGATGTTACAGAGGGGGAGTGAAGAGCAGTTGTCTCTGCAATAATGGAAGTATTTGTTAGTGTTATTGCTGCTGACTACTATGTCTTTTGCTGGTGCCAGTACCTTTACTCATACCTATTAGGTCTCTTGCTGGGGGACAATGTTATTGCTCCTACTATTATGACTCTTGCTAGGGACAATATTGATTACTGTTGATGATGCCTGTTATGTCCCTGCCTTGTTGCTCTTGCTGGTGCTAGTGCCTTGTATTACTATTGTTTGTACCAGTATTGTTGCTCCTGCCTGTTATGGTGCCAGTATTGTTGCTCATGCCTTTGCTAGTGTGTTTTCGTTGTGGTCACGCCCGTTGACCTTGCCTTTGCTCTTGACTTTCTTTGCCTTACCTTACCTTATTTTTTCGAGGTTTGCCTTTTCCTTGCCTTACCCTATTGTTTAGTGTTTGTTTTCTGCCATATCTATTGTCGTGCTCACAGGGTTTCTGTGTTCTGCCTTATCTGCTACCGTGCTCACAGGGTTTCTAGGGTTTCTGTGCTCTGCCTTACCTACTGCCGTGCTCATAGGGCGTCTGTGTTCTGCCTTATCTACTACCGTGCTCACAGGGTTTCTATGTTCCACTTTTATGTGTTCTCTTCTATGTGCCTTATTTTTTAAGGTTTGCTCTTATGTTTCCGCTATGAACTTTGCTTTGTTTGTCACTTGTTTCACTCGTGGTTGACGAAAAGACCTTCTCTAAAATTGGTGTTTCTCAAGTATGGTGTCCTGTGACTCACTTGTCAAGTTGGGCGTGCGAAATATCTTTGCCCAACTTGAGAGAGAGTGTTGGTGAGTCCTTACTTAGTTAGGATTTTGGTTATTTATTTCATTAGAATTTTGGTTACTTACCAATTATTATTTAGTCCTATTGTAATAAAGATTTACTTCCTATTGTAATTTAGATATATTTCCTATTTATTTAGGATTAACACATCTTTGTACTTGTATAAATACCTCCACATTGGAGAAGAATAATAATATAAGCGTATTTGAGCATAACTGAATATTTGCCCTACTTTGTTTGACAATGCCTTCACCAAGTTGATTGGTAATTGTTTCCACAAGCCTTTTGTTTGAGGTTTCTTCCTGTTTTTACTTTCACATTTCACAATATATATATATATATATATATATACCAAATGTTCATGAGTGGCATGCTTTATATTTGTCAAATAATGTTCTTTCATTGAGGTACAAGCTAGATTGATTGGGTTGAAGATTTTACTTTTCAAAAGTGCTTTTCTTACTTTATCTTTTTGTGTCAATTGATTGTTTTGTAACTCATCAATGCCTTTGTTGGAAAATGGTGATCACATGTGTGCAAGAACAAGAAGATGGGAAAAATTATGATAGTTCATTATTGTTGATACCCAAAAATTTTATGGTCCAATACAACAAACTCCCAAGCATGGAAAACACTCTCATGAAATCAAGATAGTTATTCCCTATGCCAAACGATATACCAAACTCATATGTACAAGGCATGTGGTTGAAACCAAGCCCATGCAAAATTCTTAGGCGATGAAGATGTTGGGATTGTTGGCAGCACCAAAGCCCATTTCATACAGTTTTCTCATGCAAGTAAGTAAATGAGATATTTTTCTTGAAACCTTCGGTAAGTAAGGATTCAAACAAGGAACCAGTGTGAAGATTCAAACAATGAACTACACAAAGTGACATAGTCACGGGATTCAATGATTGGTCTAGTTGAAATGCCATTGAAGAGTCTTAGTAAACTGCATTTTCTGGCCATACGTTCGGTTCGGGAAGAGCCCAACATGTCAATCGTACAGAACTTTCGGTTTGGTTGGGTTCGATACATATATTTACAAGTTATTATTGTCATTCCAAAAAATTAAGAAGGAATATTTTATAGTATAAGTCCTCATTCAATTGTCATTCCAAAAATTGTCATAAAAAACTATTTATTCATCTAAAATGTGCAAAAAGAATTCATCAACTAATATGCATGGATAATGTTTGACAAAAAAGATAAATTCAACGATTCTGATAAAGAAGATTGCTACTAGAGAAAGAAGATTGAGAAAGACTTATATATCACATGAATAACATTGTTTTGCCATCCCCAATTAATCACATTTTGTCACGTGTGATAAAAATTCCACATACCAAAATGCGGATTGGACATGAATGCCAAAATAGGACTATCATCGTAACATGCAACGGATGTTCCAAATTTCCTGATTTTTTGTATTTCCCCGATCCTGGTTATGGTTACAGGTTTCTAGCTCTCCTTTTTGTGATCTCGTCTGCAAAATACAAACACCACCTCAAAGCTCTTTCAAGCTCTTAGTAAGAAGCCATGGGAAAGGTTCATGGATCTTTGGCTCGTGCTGGTAAGGTGAGAGGCCAGATTCCCAAAGTGGCTAAGCAAGATAGAAGAAGAAGCCCCATGGACGCGCCCACAAGCGCATGCAATACAACCGCCAATTCGTCACCGTCGTGGTTGGCTTCGGCAAGAAGAGGGGACCCAACTCATCTGAGAAGTAGACAAAGCTTTTTTTGAGAAGATGAGAAGCAATTTGTAGATTAAGAAAAGGCTTTATTTTTATTTCTTTTCATCATTATGTCATTATCAATTCAAGACCCCGAAATGCTGGTTTGGTAGTTGGTAGAGAGATTTGGAAGTATTTTTTGGAATTTGTGCTCTATTTGAATTATCAATGATGTGATTATGTTAAAATATATATATATATATATTATAATTTTAGATTGATTTGACGATTATATTCTTGAATTTAACAATTTTTTAATAGATGAACTATTTAAGAGCGCCCATATTAACGTTAGGGACCATGAATGATACAAAAAAACTTTAAGGATGCAATCTGATAGTTTCACAAACATTAAGGACGTTTTGTGATAAAATGCTTTGAAAAAAACCTAAACAAAAATGGAATATAGCCGCCCAACTATATGCTTTTAATAAATAGTATAACCGCGCGACTATACGATTTATTTTATAAAATAAAAAAGAAAATAGACCCGAGTATAGTCGCTCTTAACCATTTACAATTTCCCTTGTTCATGAATGATATTTTCAGAAAATCTTGGTTGCTTGCTAGTAATCGTAAACTTGAACCATTGATGTTTCTGTTGCAAATAAATAAAAAATGAAGTTTTCAGCTATTAAGGGCAAAACTGGAAAAACACTCTTCTCTGAACGTCTCCACCTCTCCCCACACTCAAACTCGGGTTCACCAAAATGTTCCTCCTCCACCGGCAGCGCGTCGCCGCCCTCCAGCTCCAAATCCGACGCTACGCCCAATCCGCCACAGCCGCTCTGCTCCCCCCGGACCCGGAACCCGAACCGGACTTCCCGAGACCCGACCCGAAATACGCCGAGACAATCTTCGCCGTTCCACGCGCCGCCTCCGGTAAGAGCATCTCCGCCAAAGAGCGCAAAGCCGGCCGCGTCCCCAGCATTGTCTTCGAGCAAGAGGACGGCCAGCACGGCGGCAACAAGCGCCTCATCTCTGTACGGACCAACCAAATCCGAAAACTTGTTGGTCATCTCGGCCGCTCCTTCTTCCTCTCCAGACTCTTCGACCTCGAGGTTCGCTCCGATTTCGACTCTGAAACGACGACGTCGTTGAGAGGGTCCGCGTTTTGCCTCGCATGGTATGTATGGTCTGCTCAACTTCACTTCAAGAGATTTGATTTTTGCTTTGGGTTTTAGGGTTTATTTGATGTTGGGGTTTGTTTTGTTTGTTAGATTCATTTGCACTCGGCCACGGACGCACCGCTTAATGTGACCTTCATAAGGGCTCCTTCTCATGCTTTGTTGAAAGTCGATATTCCTCTTGTATTTCGAGGAGATGATGTCTCTCCTGGATTGAAGAAAGGTAAAACAAATCAATCCCCTTTCCTTTTGTCTCTTCTATTTATCAGATTTCATTTCCTTGTTCCAATTTCCCATTTGCAATTTCTGCTTCTATTTTCTTCTTGTGTATGAGATTTCGTTTCACTCATCTTCATCTTTACAGCACTGATAATTATAACTGTCCTTTGTGTGTATAAACTGTTGTAGATAGCAAAGTAGGATACTTGGTCAGAATTTGTTCCTGGTTTTGTTTTTCTATAGTCGTATATAGAACAACAAAGACAGAGGTGCTTGTGCGCTTTGATCACAACTTAGCGTCAGAATATTGCCTTCATGATCATTATGAGCTTTCCATGAAGGTCGAGCCATCTGAAATTGTAAATTGTTCTAGAACTTTTGTGGGAAATCATTGTTTCTAACAATTGATTATAAAACGATTGGCAGTTTTTGTTTCAAAGTGGAATTCCTGACATGGGTGATTGAGAATATGAAACTTTCTTATGGAGTATGTTATTAATTTGAACTCATTAGCAACTGGGGTTGAGTTCCAGCTATTATCAGGAAAATCAAACAAGGTTTTTGTTGATTGTGAAGAGTTTCGATTGTTAGGGAAACAAGTCTCACCATGCTCCTTTTCCAGGAGATCTGTTGCATAAAAGTTTTTGAAGGCTGTTATTCTTCCAACTGGCTTTGGTGGTGTGATATTTTATACTATGATACTAACAATACCTAAGCCCTAGAGTGTTTAGTATAACAACTGGATCTGCAACAACGGAATCTAAATTGCTCATGGGTTGCTTGAGCTGGAATTGCAAGATAAAAGATCTGGTATGTGAATAAGAAGGTAATGCGATCTAAATGGCTTTTTGTGTTATAGATGGCATTCTAAAAATAATTGATGTGAAGTTAGTTTCAAAATATTTGAACAGCAGTGCCAATATATTCCATGCAAACGACTTGCCTTCGTAGCAGCAATGTGATGCTCTTCATAGATTAATCGAAGTTTTCTTTGGGGTAATGTGGAAGCGCAGCATAAACCTCATCTTGAAAATTGGAATAGAGTGACTTGCCCTCAAATTAAAGGAGGGCTTGGCATCAGGAAAGATAAGCAGAAATGATGGGTTGGGTTGGGTTCCTCCCCTTCAAGGAACCTTGAAGCTTATTGTGGATAATCCAAGACAAATTTCTAATCAAGCTTTAGGGGCTGGGGTTCTCATTAGAGATTGGAAAAGTGACTGGGTCATAGGTTTCTATGCCAAGGTCAGGATATTTACAAACAGAAATATGGGCCTTGCTCCATAGCTGGGAAACTCAAATTGCTCATATCATGGTTGAGGTGGATTCCGCCATTGTTGCCTCCCTTTATGGGGTCTGGTTGATGAGTGCAGAGACTTGATCCATGGGCACTTGCACTGTTTTGCTGCTCATATTCACAGAGAAAGAACTGTTGCTGCAGATGCGCTAACCAAAATGGGGATAGGTAGGGACATAGGGCTGGCAAGGCTTAGCCTAGACTGATTGTTCTTTAGTTTCCTGGTTCCTAGCTTTGCCTCTGGGAAACAGTTTATAGAGACTTCATTTGATCACGGCTTACTTTTCATATACTTAGATATATATATATATATATATTATATACTGTAAACTCCGTTCCATAGATTTGGTTGATATTAGCGTCTTGTGCAGGGAAGTTACTTCAGTCTTTGTTTCAAATCATTACTCATAATCTCGTGAGTCGTGTTGGTTACTATGGATTAGTTCACTTTTTTGTTAAAATAATTTTAATGATCTGATTCATTTAAGTGTGACCTTTAACAACTTGGCAGGTGCTTATTTAAATACAATCAAGAGGACTGTAAAGTTCCTTTGCCCTGCAGATGTGATTCCTCCATATATTGATGTGGATCTGAGTGAGTTGGATGTCGGCCAAAAGATATTAATGGGAGATCTCAAGGTTCATCCGACTCTAAAGCTTCTTCAGTCAAAAGATGAGCCTGTTTGTAAGATCATGGGAGCCAGAGTTTCTGAACAAAAGAAATCTAAATAACTGCTACGGTTGGATGTGGCTGCCCATTGTCATGAAATGTGCTGGCACCATTATCCCTTCTCAGCTAACATGTTTATGTGTTCGACCACGCTTCTTTTTTATTTGTAATGGCTGTGAAGGACAGGGCAATGAAATGTCATTGTGAGTTTTCACCCTCTGCTTTTTCATTTTTTATCTTTTGATGAGGGAGCGCTGGCAGTCGAGGATGCCATTAAAGGGAGGAAGAAACTAGGTCTGCTTCGTGTATCTTGTGAATCTGATCCGGAATTCTATGCTAATAAGCATTTTTGTTCATAGATGTCTCAATGGACACACTTGAATGGATGTCCCTTGCTCAGTTTCTGTGTTTTCAAATTGACAAAAATATTACTCATGTGCCAAGCACATGACATTTTAACTGAAAATTGGATAAAATTTGAAAAACTGGATGATTGCGGCGAAATTGGCTATTTATGAAGAGTTTAACTTGGCGACACTCAACCCTAAAATAAATGTTAGTGTTACCCGGCATTGTATACTTATTTTTAAAAATATTTACTCTAAATTAACCTAATCTATATTCGAGCTTGGGTGTAAGTGGGGCGTGTTCACTGTCTTGGCCAACTTTTGAAGACAACCCTAGGTCAAATTTGCTAAAAGGAATCAGAAGCTGAAATGGGGAACAAGAACTTTCTAGGGAAATATGCTGGTATAATCACAACTCAGAAACAGTGTGCTGAAATAATCAGCCTACAAATTGTATTCTAATATAATCACTTGGGGACGTGAAATGACCGAAGTGCCCTCCATATAAAAACATATCTATTGGGGAGTTATTGGGCATGGATTGGCGACCTAACACTTCCGTCTTCTCAGCTCGTCTCTTCCTCTCTGGCGGCGCTTTCTCTGTCCAGCGGCCACCACCACTCTCTGTCTCCCTCTGTCCCCAAACCTAAGCAACACTCTCTCGTTCTCTCTCTGCCGTCAATGTTAGGGTTTGGGGAGGCGGTTATTGACGTTTAGGGTTTCACGAATAAATGGTATCTCCCTTAAACGATTTCTCAGTTCCCTCTCTTTTCATGTCTTGAATCGAAGTCTTTCTCTTCTCCTCTGCTCCTTGAGGGCCTCAAAAAACCCCAAAACCTGGTTTCGGTTCAGACTTAGTTCACTTACTTCCTCCTCCTGCTCAATCCTGTGAGGGACAAAAATCGCGATTTTCTGTAGGTGTTGCTCGGATTTCCAATTCGGTTCTGTGCACAAAACGAGTGATTCTAAGGTTGGTTATGTATTTGTTATTGACTAGTTTGTGCATTTGTATGGTTTTCATTTGAGAAGGATAATTTCAGTAACCTGTGACTGATGTTGTGAAGTTTAGTAATTACAGAGATTGCAATAATAATGTATTTTAACTGTGAATTATTTCATGCTTGGATGAAACTTGTATTGGTGTATTGATTTTGCTCTGTGGACGATGAAGTGCCTTAAGTTGGTATTTGTCATCTGGGATTGGTTCGTTTGTGATGCGTGTTTTCACTTCCATTTGATGATGCATAATTAGTGTGGGAATTTATTCTGGTGGCAATGGCTATTCCATTATAACACAGGTTTACCTCACTAGGCCCTAAATTAGATGTTGAGTAATAATGCATAAGTAAATTTGTTGGTATCATTGCTGTTTCAGCACCTAGTAGCATAGTTTTGCACCCTTCCAGTCTCAATGGTTAATTATGTGAATTTGAAATACTAATGTAAGTTGGCGTGGGATGTTTCTTTTCCCTGTGCTATAAAACCTGCTAAATGTTGTTGTTAGTCCTTGCTTGCAGCTTGTCATATATGTCTGAAAATGGTATTTTCTTGGGCTTTAGTATCTGTTTACAAATTTCATGTTCATCCAGCTATGTTTAGCAGTTGCAGCTGCAGTAACATTTTGACGTGTCTAGTTTGTACACAGAGTCCATAACTGCCAATACTGATGTTCCATGAGTAGACATGTATATGACTATGGTAATGAGTAGATTTTAGTACGCATTGATGCATTTGGAGTAATTGTTGTAGCCATTTCGCCAAAACCCTGTATGAAGTGGATCCATGGTTCATGAACTTGTTTTCACACTTGGGTGGTATTTGGTTTTTGGATGGAATCGAATATAGATTTTGTAGAAGGGAATGTAGATAACAGCAGAGTGTGGAGAGAGTTGGAGAGTAGAAAAGAGGGTTCAAAACAATTCTGGTTTTGTCATATGTATATACATATATGAAATGACTTGAAAGTATTAGTTTGAGTACTGTACGTATGACATATGGGTAACCAATGATCCATATGTATGATGTTGTTGTGCAGGGAAGTCTAGAATGGCTTGTAAAGCAAAGCTTATGATTCCTGAGGATGAGAAGTACGAAGGAAAGCCATTTGCCCTTTCACACGCAAGGACCGCCATTACAACAATAAAGGCGAAGTTCAATACGCAGCAGTTACAGAGGTTCGAGGGGAGTTGTTTTGGTCATCTATTACTGATAGAGGACCTGAAGTGGAATTCACAAGTTGTCCACGGGCTGTTGATGAGGAAAGCTGATCCTAAGACAGTTACACAGGTGAACGGGATAAAATTCATTGTGGGTAACAAGTTGATACAATTCACAGCCCAACACTTTTGCCTCATCACGGGCCTAAGGTTCGGAAAGCTCCCTTTCATTCCGAAGGCGACAAATGAAAACTGCTCCTTGAAGCGAAAATACTTCAGTAGCAATAAACCTCCCACCCTTTTGGACCTACACACTGCCTTCATTGAGTGCACAGATGATGACGATGCGTTAAAGCTTGGAATGGTCTATTTTGCCATTTTTGTGCTATTGGGTACTGAAAAGCATGTGCTTTTTGACTTGCGCTATTTGAAGTTGGCCGAAGACTTAGAAGAGTTTGACAAGTATCCATGGGGTGCCGTGTCATATGCGATGACAAATGCTTCACTTTTGAGGGCAGTTTCTCCTGATTACCAACGAGTGAAGGTGCCCCAAAACAGAAAAAAGCCCAACAAACGTGGGAAGAAGAGAGCGGAGACAAGAATGGAATGCAGTAGAGCCAGAGAGTACATCATAAGGGGGTTTGGCTTCGCTCTTCAGGTGAACACATATCCAACAATGTTTTAGTTCATTTAAATACATTTACAGATTTTGATGTTTGATTGTTGTCAACAGATTTGGGCTTTTGAAGTCTTCCCAGCATTGGAAGGATTGCATTTCACGGTCCATGAAGACAATAGGCACATCCCTCGAATATTACATTGGAGGAGCAACACGGTGGCCCGTTTTCGGGAGGTTATGAGTCAGGTTTATGAAAACTTTGAGGTTAGTTCAGTTTGTATTACTCAGGTTATGATTAGGAACAAGTCAAAAGTTTACTGATTTATTAGATGTGTTTCAAATGGAGGTTGATGTGCAACTTCTCCGGCCGACTGATATTGAGAAGCAACAACCTTACTGGAGTTGGGGCGATGATGAGAACAATGAAGAAATTGTTCAATTGTTTGGGGATGAGGGCGAAGACAAAACCAGCACTTCTAGTGAAGAAAAAGAGGCGGATGTTGAGGAAACAACTACCCTTCCCTCCTCTTCTAAGGTGAGCACGACCTTTTTCCAATGTTGTGAACATGTAGAGAATACGATACGAAAGAAGTGGAAATAGTTTTCTTAGCTTTTGTAAGATTTCTAACTGTTGCATTATAACTTTATGCAGGGCAAAGGGTCTTTTAATGACTTTGGCAGGTTGAAGCATCAATTAGAAAGCACTAAGGATGAGTTAGCAAAGCTACGTAGTTCAAATCGGGGCCTTAGGAACAGAGTTCGTGAATTGGAAGCTATTGTAGACAAGAACTGTTTGAAGCATGAGAAGGAGTGTGACAGAAATAAAAAGGCTATTGGGGATTTGACCCTAACAATTGCTTCAGTGGAACATTATTTTAAATTGGAGATGGAGGAGTTAAAAAATTATATGGTGGACAAGGGCATGAGGAAGTGTGGACTGCTCAGATGAATGAAGGAGGGCAGAATGAAATGTCACCCTTGAATGAACTTACTACTCCGACTACAGCAGGGCCTAAAATGGACGCACAAGTTGCAGGTGATGGAGTGGAAGCCTTCCCAGGCATGCATACAGAACGGGCTGAAATGGAAGCAACAGTCTATGGTGGAGTGGAAGGGGCTGAAAGGGAAGCGGAAGTCCCTGCTGATGGAGTGGAAGCTTTTCTAGCCATGCATATACAAGGGGCTAAAAGGGAAGCCGAAGTCCCTGCTGATATTGTGGAAGGCTTCCCAGGCATGGAAGTCGAAGCCGCTGAAATTGACACTTCAGTTTGTAACAAACAAGTGCACCAACAACCTCACAAGGTTCCTACTTCGGAAGATGTGAAGGTTCCTAGTCTTGAAGAACCCCTCATTCCTAGTCCGGAAGATAGGGAAGGGTACAGAGTTATTTGTAAAACAATGTTAAATTTGTTAGAGGATTGGAATAAGAAAGAAATTAAGGGGGTGGGACGGAAGGCGAGGCCTCCCATGGAAACTAGTATAAATCTGGTTGGTGATGAAGTGGACAAGGAGGCTAATGCCACGGTTCAGAAACCAGATGCGGAAGGCAAAGGATGCAGACTGAAGCGGCGCGCGAAAACATTGTTGAGTCCATTCACTGATCCCTCCAGGAAAAAGAGGCCGACTACTGGTTTTCATGCACAGACACCTGAGGCCCGTTTTGATCCAACACAACCCGTGGCCATGGACGATGTGAAGGCTATGATACAAGTTTGCAAGGCTTGGAAAAGTGACATCAGGTTAGGAATTGTAACATTTAACTAAACCAATATACATGTTTTTTGATGTATGCAGTCATGTACAATAACAATATCTACGTAGCTAATTGTTCGTGTGTGTGTCATTGTCATATTATGCAAGGTGTCCATTAGTTTTTTTTCTGGTTGAATTTACCTTTGCAAGTTTATTTTTGTGTAGTGCGGAGCTGGAGCTCGAACCATTTGTAGTTGGGGCGGATTTTTTTTACAAACTTGTAGATGAAACTGCATGGATGAGCTCGAGGGTAATACTTTTGAACCGTGCTTTATTTCGAAAAATTTCTGAATTGATCACTTTGAGTATGTGGCCATTTTTTTTAAATATTGAGGTCGTTGTTGTGTTGTGAAATGTCAGCACCTTGACATGGCCATGTTTCTAATACGCAAAAGACAACTCTCTCATCCCCAAGTATTTGGAACGGAGTGGACAACTGCCGAGTTTTGTCTGCAGGTATTATTGTATTCATATTATGTCTCATTCAATTTGTTGCATTGGTAGGAGTAATGTGTTGGCTGTGTTTGGTGCATTGGATCCTGTTCATGTAACGTGTCTTTCACACTTGTTTGCAGCAATTTTTACAGCCAATTACACCGCCAAGTGCGAAACGAGTTACGAGGAAACAAATTGCTTCAATGACTGTTGACCCTCCCCCTAACTACCTCAGAAATATACACCACTTTGTCTGGGGTTCATGGCAACATGGTTATGCACAAGCATGGACGAAAGTCCGCAAGGTCTATCTCCCGTATAATGTTCGACAGTCCCATTGGGTGGCTGTAGAAATTGACTTTGTCAGACATACTGCCACTGTGTACGACTCGTATACTGTTTTTACCTCCAACACAATGCTTGTCCGACAGATGGAGCCTATTACCCAGACGCTTGCAAAGGTGTTGTATGACATGAGGTTTTATGAGAAATCGGAGGTTGAAGCGGTGAAGAAAAAGGGGATTGACATGCCAACGTTTAACCCATTCACAATTTGCAGAATTTCCGATGTTCCTCAGCAAAGTGATGGGTAAGCTGTGTTCATTTAAAGCACTTTGTGCATGTTGTCAGTATGTGCACTTCTAACTTCTGTACTGCTCGGGTGGACAGTACCTCATGTGGCATTATGACCGTCAAATTTATTGAGTATCTCAGTGCTGGCATTCCTTTTAATACCATTGACCCAGCCAAGTTTGGCTACTACCGATTGAAGCTTGCAATCGAGGCTCTCAGGGGAGAGGCCTATGTATGAGGTAAAAGTCCATATCTGACCTCATATGAATTCACTGTTAAGGACTGCTTCAGAATTGCCTAGTTATTTGCCTACTTTTAATTATGTCGTACGTACAGAGTTGTGCTTTCAGTCTTCATTTCAGACAACTTACAGTATGTTGGCATCTTTTCCAAGTGTTATGAATGCGAATGGCGACTATTGTTAATCAAAGTTTAGGGTATTGGGGATTTCAACACCGTAGATGGTAATGTACATGTTTTGCAACTGGCATCTGATTTAAGTATGGCATATGTTCTGAACTCTGACTGTGTATCATCCAAAACTTGTATCATGTTGTTTATGACATCTCAATAGAATTACTTCTTAAAATAGCTCCAATTATTAAGACGTTCAAGTTTCCCTTTCTATGAATGCTAACTCTCGGCACATTTGGCCTTCCTATGCAGGTGGTCCTTTCAGGTTCATACCCATATTGACATCACAGATTCTGTACATGTATGTCACAGAAGTTGCAGGCTGTTTCGTCGTTTTGTCATTCCTGAAAATGAATGCGATGTTTTGCCTTACATGGCACCATTTTTGACTTTGTGTACAGATGGCAATGAAGGGTGCTGATTTTGTACTATGTTGCAGGGTGTTAATTTGTGAGAAAAATTAGGTATTAGACATAATTAACTTTACTAATTAGTATCTGAAACATTGTGTATTTTAGTTTGGGTTTTAATACCTATGAAAGAATTGTTATTTTGGATTAGGCCAAAGAGGAGGCTCATATTCTTTGGGCCTATCTAAATTATAGAGTTCAAATTCAATTTTGCCCTGTTTAAAAGAGCCTTTGCCAAAACCAGATCTATCTCCTGAGTCCAGGGGACTCCGTTCTCTCTCTCTCTCTCTCTCTCTCCTCTCTCTCTCTCTCTCTCTCTCTCTCTCTCTCTCTCTCTTGAGTCCACGAGTCGTGACGGCAAAGTGGCTGTGACTTCGTACAGCGAGTCGTTGGCAATGGCAAGATGCAGCACCTAATGGGAATCGAGGGAGTGATAGTAGATCTTGTGCAAGAGATCACGGAGGCAGTGTCGGATATGATTAAGCCAACAATAGTTGAAGACAGGGGGGACAAGAATCTGTTGGAAGGAGACGGGAAGATGCAAATGCAATTGAAATCAAAGCCAGAGTTCTCGCAGAGGGAGCTTTCTTTTCTTTTGAAGTTGATTCCAGAGTTGATACAGCTCTAATGTAAGGATTGCCACTTGCCCTTTGCTTGTTTCAAATAAATTTTCTCCTTTATATGGTGATATAATTTTGATCTGTTGCATGCTGGATTAGTATCCTATAGATTACTCTCCTATAACAATTTGAGATCATGGTTCGTCTTAAGCAAATTTTTATCATTTGTTGGTAAATTCATTGATGAATTGCGAGAATGGTGATCCTGTAGCATAAGCTGATGCATTTCCCATTTCATCCCTTTTCATGAAAGTTGGTGAAAGAAGATATTGGCGTGGCTTTTGAAAGTTCTGTTCACTTAAGTTTGGTTATTGGCTCTAGATGCCTGGAATCAGTCAATTGATACTTGGTTCAGTTTTTTCTTGTGTGTGTGTGTATAGGATGCTTGGGTATTTCAAGGAGATCGACTCTCCTCCACCTGTGAGAGCCTCTTTCTCTTTCATTCTCTTTTAATGCATTTGCTTGTATTTGAAATTGGGGGTTTGAAAATTATGTTCATCCTAACAATTTGATAGGTTTTTCTTTTTCTTTTTTGTTTGTTTGTTTGAAAAGATGGCCTGGTGTTGTTGGATCCATTTTGTTGTATAATTGCCTCTCTTTTTTTCTTTTTGATACAAATGATTATGTTTGGTCAATTTTGTGAAAATCAAAATACTTGAGAAACAAGAAGCTGCTTCGAAGAATCAAATTCAATTTCATCTAGTTGATCTGGAAGGAACTTCTGTTACCTTGATATGTTTCCATTGCATGTTCCAGTGTCTTTTCAATTAGCATGCTTAGTGTTACTAGTAATCCAGCTGGGCAGGCAAGTGACAGAACGTAGCTAGAATTCTTTTTTATTAAATCAATTTGATATAGCTCTAATACAAGGATTGCCACTTTCCCTTTGCTTGTTTCAAATATATTTTCTCCTTTTGTTTAGGGCCTATACTCATCGCGCAAGTCTGGAGGTTGACATATCTTATTCTATGCTCATTGTTCGTTGTACATAATTTGGTCTTGTTTTATATAGCACAAACGTTGTTTTATATAGCACATAATTTGGTCAGGCAGTGATCTAATTTAGCTGCAACTTCTTATTATAGAGCTCACTTACTATGCATTTGTCTTGATTTGGAAATGATTGATGCCATCATTGTCATATAATATCTTGCAATACCATTTAAGCTTTAGTTCAGTGAAATTTTACACAGGTTTTGCATTGCAGTTTTGCACAAACTGCATTGCAGTTTCGCACAAACTGCATTGCAGTTTCGCACAAACTGCATTGCAGTTTCGCACAAACTGCATTGCAGTTTCAAAAACTGCATTGTAGTTTCAAAATTATAATTGGATTTTTGCTCTGTCCTTGGCCTTCAACCTCATCAATTTAAAGAGTAGAGGCTACCCAGATGAGGAATAGGGTGGGCAAGAGAAGAGTAGAACTACCCAAGAGTAAGGGAACCCAAAATTGGACTTTTGGAAACTGGAAACTGCATTGCAGTTTTCATTTAATTACAATTTGATTTATTTTCTTTCCTTGGCCTTCAACCTCACCAATTTGAAGAGTAGAGGCTACCCAGATGAGGAATTGGGTGGCCAAGAGAAGAGTAGAACTACCCAAGAGCAAGGGAACTCAAAATTGGACTTTTGGAAACGGGAAACTGCATTGCAGTTTTGGAAACTACATTGCAGTTTTCATTTAATTACAATTATTTTTGTAGCTGTTTTCATGTTCGTTTTTGTTTTTGTTTTTTTTAACATAATTGATATCTACATTGTATTTTTGTTGTAGTTTCTGTTTTTATTTGCAATTTTTGTGTGAATAAGTGTTGAAATGATTTTTTTTTTTTTGTTTATATAAATATTGTATAACTGAATAAATATTACAAAATCAAGTTTGGTGTTGTGGTTTGTGAGTGAGCCTTCTTCCTTTGAGGGTAAAGGTTCGAGTCCATTCAATGACACAAAATCTTTTTTTTAAAGGTGAATAAAGGCCAACGGAGTTGGTCCCTTGCAGACGGTGGCAGGCCGGCGATGGGCGGTGGTGGTGGCAGGTGGCCGGCGGTGGTGACCGGAACCGGCATCGGAATTCCGACGGTGGTGACCGGAATCAGCATCGGGATTCCGGCGGTGGTGGCCGGCGGCGGGATTCCGGCAATGGTGGCCAGCGGCGGGATTCCGGCTATGGTGGTTGGCTTGATATAGACATGTGGCATAGTATGCTTGCCTTAGAAGGAGTGGCATTGTGTGTAATTTTGATATTTTTTAATGATATTTTTGTAAAATTAGGTACTACATTTGGTCTTTGGCCTTATACAAATGAGATAAATTGTATTCCTATCTTCCAAATTAGTAAACTATATTGTGTTTTAAAACTAAAGCTCCCTAATTTGTGTAACGTAATTCGCCAGTACTTGTATTCCATAGTACAAGGGCTGTACAAACGTTTCCTTTCTGACAATGCGGTTATTGACCTTCTGTACTTGACATGTTTTGTACAGGCATATAACAAAATATCCTTCATTTGGCCGAACTTGCAGCCATATCAAATTTTTTTGCCCCACCCACATTGTAGCCGTTTTGTTTTTTGTGGTTCGGTGTAATACTTACTTTCGTATATTAATTATTTTCATCCAATCTGGACAGAAATGTTTGGGGTTGTTAGCCGAAACAATATCCCTAACCCTCCGCTGGGGCATTTACAAAGCATTATACGATTTGATCAGGACATTTGATCAATGATTTCATCAGGGAATTTGTCAGCAAATTGGATGACTCTGTCAATTTGATGAATTTGGGAGTGGCTTATGTTAAAACCAAGAAATCTAACAGTGGTTTCAAACAACTTCATTTTCTTGGCAGAGACAACTACACCATTTTGGCTAACTTTCTGAAGCAACTGATGCATATGTTTCCATTCATGTTCTATGGACTCAGAGAAGATAACAACAGCATCAATGTAGACTATAGAGAAATGACTATGCCAAAAAGCATTAGAAAGGCCATGTTTCAAATATCAAACTTCATTTGTTCTTCAAATGTTCGAATTTATTTTATTTTAAACGTAACTAATTCTTGAAGAGATTTCAACTATCGAGCTTTGTTTTGAATTATACTAACTTTTTACATTTTTAACATTAAACTTTGCTATTGTCTTCACTTGTCATAAAGCGTCAATGATTCGGTGGTTTGGACCTATTTTTGTTACGGTAAACTTTGTTTTTCCTATACAACTCATGATTATCTTTATTCTGTTCAAAGGCTGTTTTCTTCGTGAGTAATGACGACTTTTCCTAATGTCACTCCGGTAATTGGACTTATTTTTCCTAGACAGAGGTACTGACGTAAGACCATATTGTTGACAGAAGAGTCCTAACGCATATTTCGCACATTTGTGCTCAGATTGTATTTGTCGACCAATTTTCATAGGTACCCACATTTTCATACCAACTTCGTTAATTGTACTAATTGTATTTCCATAGGTTAAATTTTTCCAATCAATTTGACCTTGCTCATTGCTGAACTCAGTTCTTCTTTTATGCCCGAATAAGTTTGGAAGAGCGGTAATGAACTCGTACTTCTTTCCAAAACGGTTGATTACTAGCTTCACGAATCATGACTCTACAACTTAAAATATGTGTATACCATCTAAAATAAGACAGATTAGAACATCTCAGATTACTCAGTTGATCAAGTATTCTAGCATTAGTATGAGTATGGGTTCCAATAAAATGCTGACTTATAGTATAGAACAAACTATTAACACCATAATCATCAAACCTCTTCCATTACATCCATAACCTAACCACCTT